ACCATCACAACATGACCGGGACACCATCACAACATGACCGGGACACCTTCAAAACATGACCGGGACACCATCACAACATGACCGGGACACCATCAAAACATGACCGGGACACCATCAAAACAGGACCGGGACACCATCACATGATGACTGGGTCACAATCAAAACATGATCGGGACACCATCAAAACATGACCGGGACACCAGCATCACATGACCCGGACGCCATCAAAACATGACCGGGACACCATCTGCCCACCAGCTCTGACGGTGACCCGACGGCGCCCGTCCGCCTATTAGTTTTGCAAGACCCCATAGCATGGCTATTGGGGAACATACGTTTATTTAACATCATGCTGGATATTTATAGAAAACAGAAGTGTCTCACAGAAGATCATGTTGGTAAGAGACTTTATAAGACCCTGTGATGGCACATTTTATAGGGTTCTTCAAGCTCTGTTGGATGGGCACACAAGAACCAAAAGAAGACTTGAGGCCAGGGCTTGGTGACGAAAGCTAGCATGGCTTTCGTAAACGGGATTCGGCGAGAGGTCTCGGAGAGCGCCATTCCTTGTTCTTGACGGATGGTATCTGGTTTCCGTGCGTTTAAGTCACAGTCAAAGGACCTAGTGGATTGTCCTCTCCGATGCCTTGATCAAACGTGGGGGGAGGGGGGAGTTGAACCCGGCGGGTGGGTCTACGCATGAATTATTCACTGGGTAGGTCATCCCTGAGCCAATGACTTGCTAAAGCAAGAGTAACTCCGAACTCCAGCTAGCTGGCGCTAGCTTTCGTGATGAAATTTGAAGGACTCCAAGACCAGAAGAGTCATCAGCAGAGAGGGGGAGAAATAAAGAACATGTTCATCTCACCCAGCAGCATGGTGTAGATGGCCCTGTAGGCTGTTCCATAGTGCATCCACACCCAAGTTCTTCTGTCCCGATCCAGAGATTCATCCAGTATATAGTCCTGGAGCCTCGGCTGGAGCGCGCTCCGCGGGAGCTCGGTGCCTCACATGCCTCAAGTGCCTCGTCCACCCGACGGATCTCCGAACTCCCCGGGGCTCGGAAGGTCTGCGCCGGGAAGCGCCTCGGAACGTCTCGGGGAAGGAAGCCGGAGACCTCCAGACGCTTGCGAGGGAAAAACGGCATATTGTAAGTGGAGGCTCACACCCCCCTGCTTGGAAAGGACAACCCTCTTCAGTCGCCGTAGCCCTCAGGCGTTTCCCACCTCTGACCCGATGTAAGTCAAGGTTGGCGGGGCTGGGGGCCCGTACCGTGTGGCGTGCACCGGCAAGTCTTCCATGGGGCCATGGGACGCCACTTCCATGGAACGTGATTCAGAGTGGATCCCCTTTCAAGCTTTCTTCGTTTGATTTCTTTGGCACACTGCAGCCCGGTACGTCATCCACACGGCCTTTCCCAAACAGCGGTTGGCAGCCAGGTGGCAGGTTGCCCATGAAAAGAGCGCCCATCATCATGAAGAGCCCCAGCAGGGCCATCGACCAACCTCACCCAGCGTATGTGATTCTTCTCGCGCGCGCGGGCGCGCGCACGATTCGGGTGGTTTCTATGTGGCCACCTGGTTGTTGAGATCCGCGGCAGTTGGCACACATCCAGCCCTGCCGTCCCAGTCGGATTCCGGATCCGCCAAACGTGGGCCGAACGTGCTCCTGTGCTCTGTTTTTCACGTGCTCCTGTGCTTCTGACGGGTGAATCGAACGGAAATGGCTTCGGAGGCGGCACCACGACCGACGCCCCTATATATACCCTAGAAGTCCAAAGACTATATTTTGACCGGCTGAAGTAAAGGAAGTTCCCTTTCAGGTCCCCTAAAGACCATTCTTGTTATAGTCTTTGACTCCCAGGGTATATACATAACGTACTTGCATGCCCCCGGTTTAAACAAGAACTTCACTCACAAAAACTGGCTGGGAACAAGGAGAACTGAGAACATGAGGAGAGCATGATAAGCACCTTTGTAGTTGTTAGTAGTTAGTTGTTTCCTTCTAGCAGTTTCTGCAAGACATCTTCCAAGGTGTAGGTCGACAAATCTATGTGATCGACCATGACCTACCAGCTTTTCACTCCAGGATGGTCGCCACCTCACGAACCACCACTCCATGTCGGACGCAAACGACCCAGCAGACAGCCACGCAAGCGAACCGCACCGCCGAATCGAACCGCGCCACGGCCGAACCCGGCGCGGAACCGAGCCCAGTGGCAGAGCGACGGCAAAAAGGAGCTGCACGCTTTGATCAACAGCCGAAGTCCTGGAGCTCCGAGTCGCCACCGGAGAAGTCGCACGAGCGGTTGGAGTCGGAGTCGGAAGGTAAAGCGTCCCAACCCCAAAAATCCACGTTTTTCAGGGATTGTGTGGGGTTTGTAAGTGTTCTGAGGTTTGTTCAGGTTTGTTTACATTTAGGATTAAGTTAGGTCCGGTCAGGATTAGTTTAGAGATGTTTGGGTTGATTAGGGTTGGGCTTGGGCGTTGGCTCTTCACGCCTCAATTTCCCGGCGATTCTGTTTCTTCTTACGTTCTGAAAGCCTGTCACACTCGTCACCCGCATGTCGTTATCCGCGTTCCGAGAAAGCGGCCTTCCGTAAGAAGGCCAAGAGGGAACCCAGAGAGTGCCATGGCCGATGTAGGTGCTGCTTTGAGAATGACACTGGTAAGGTATCACCTTTGCATGTCAGGGGCCCAGAAGTTGCACCTTCCTTCAGCCCAAGAGCGGCCATAGGGTGGACCTGCCGAGGTGGACATCGGGCCCCACAAGGGGCGGGGCTGCAGATGGAATGGGATAGGATTCGGTTTGAAGATGATTCGATCGATTCGGTTCGGCCTTTTCCCTCACGTCCTCACCGGGTTCGCATCCTCTTCGATATGAACCGTCGCCCCCGAAAAGCAACCTTCAAGAGTATCACAGGGATCGCCATTTGCCAAAAGCGCCATAGAAGGGGAAAACTCGTTCAGTCTCACATGGTTTGCTTGCCGACATCCCACTTGCCTGTCCTTGGGTCTTTTGGGTCCCTTAACCTTAGGCTCTAGTATGCCCCACCAGCCACGCGGCATGGTTGGACACCCCGAATCAGCCGGAACCAGCTCCACACCCGGCCCAGGGGGGTGTCTTCTTCGTCCCTGGGGTGCGTCCCCTCGTGCTGTTTGGATCCAGGTCTCCTCGAAATAACCGAAGCGCTCGCACGATGCGGACCGCGCGGACCTGAGGCGGTGAATGGGTGAATGGAAGAAGGCCGGAGGACGGCGAGTAGGTCGTACGCGTACGAGCAGCACGGCGTGGCTACCTACAACTATATATAATCTATATGTCATTGTCATCTATGGGTGTATATATATATATATACTTTATGGGTGATTCAAATCACTCCATATTATGGATCATGCACCCCAGACACAGAGCTATTATATAGACCCACGAAGCTATGCCCCTTCGAAGCCATACGAAACCCCCAAACTTCTGGATCCCTTCTCAGGGGATGACCCACCCCAGAACAAGGGGGCAGGAAAAACGAATGAAAAAGGGATGAAAAAGGGCAGAAAAGACCACCCAAAAGGGAGAAAAGGTGGTCTAACGAAGACCGGCGCGGCGACCGGAGCGACCGGGCGCAGCCGCGCAGCAACCGAGACGACCGGCGCGGTACGCGACCGAGCGCAGCGACCGAGGTGCTAGCTTCACCGTGCGCAGCAGCCGTAGGGTGGAGGTGTTGTTGAAGGAGGAGGTGGCCAACAGGGGCGTGAGGATGTAGAGATCGATACACGCCACTGCCACCAAGACCTCAACATGAGACTCTGCAGACCTGAAAACCCAGGACCGAAACCAAAGGCCAAAGAAACCCCTCGTCCCGCCACCGTGACCGACCCTTCAGGGGTCGCATAGGCCAGGTGACCCCCTCAACCGACCCCCGAACCGAGCGTTCTGCGAGTGAACTCGGGGAGTGATTTGGCTTGGGGCCTCGGAAGACACCGGGGGCCGAGAGGCATGCGGTGGGACATGTCTCCGGAGGTTTGGGTTTTTGGGAGGACTGAAGGCCAGCCGGACTAGGCCAGCCGGACGGTGTCGAAGATGTTCATGCCCTCTTTGAAGTACTTGCACCTCTCGCTGTAGACGCGATAGCACAGCTCCAACAAAAAGGCGACGGCGAAGCAGTGTTCCATCACCTTGTGAGGCATTTGCTCAGCTTCCCAATGCAGTGATTTCAGGTTAACCTCAAGATGGGGGTCCATATGAACCACCTTTGGGGGGATTGTGCCATCTACTCTGAAACCACTATAATGTTAGATGGTAATTAGCAGGTCAGCCATAATTATACACATAACACCCACCACTGTACAATTGAAAGCAAATGATGTCCATGAATTTGTATTTGAATTTAGGGTACTTCTAAAAAACCTAAAAAGAATGGTGAGGGGGAGCTGCCAAATACATACCTCACATTACAGTACGTAGATAGGATATAATTTTCCTACGTTGTTTTAGCTTTCCCTAAGAGTTCGGACACCGAGTCAAGGATCTGGAACCAAGGACAGTTGTGAGTGGGGGCGTCTTTGGGCTCGGAACTGTTTTTTTACATCAACTTCAACGTCATGTTCAACATATATAGTTCGCAACCAATACTGCCTTTCAAAACAGAACAGGAGGCCCTTTATAAGGTCTTGGGGTCTTAGCATGAACTAGAGCAATCTCGGGCAAACATACATACTTCACAAACGACTTCCCAACGTGACTAGGATGCTGCAGGGGTCTACGTTGTGTTGGTGGGCATTTTAATGATTAGCCCTCTTTGCTGCCGACACCTAGGGTTGATCCTCAGGATTCAGGATTTAATGTAAACTACCTGGGAGTTCAACATGGCCCAGGCAAGGCGATATTTCTGCAAGTAATGGGACACACCATAAGTCTTACTTACTACTCCATACACATTCCGATGCAACTGTGAATTTGGCGTGGAGCCGACTCCCTAGGCACAGAAAAGAACACGAAAGGCGCTCATCTCTTTCACAACCCCCTCGTTACCCCTCGTAAAAAATGGAATGACCATTGTTCATGATGTCGTCAACATCAAGTAAGAGAAGAATCTTGATTGAATACCGCCCCTATTTGGATTGCAAGGCCATGGATTGTAAAGCCTCTTCATGGAGGTTTTACTAAACACCAACCCTGGGAGTCAAAGACCATAAGAACATAATTGTCTTAGGTGACCCGAGTTCAGGAATGTCCTTTATTTACTTCAGTCGGTCAAAACATAGTCGAACTGGACTTCAGTCGGTGCCAACAACGTCTTGTCCTGTAAGGGATGCCCACAATCCTCTCCTAGTCGCTGGTCCTGGGCACGGTCGAGGGCCGTGTGCAGAAGTGAACCCAGGCCAAGGCGCATTGATGGCAGGTTCAAAGCCACTCCACACGTTCAGGCCAATGATGCCAGCATCCAGTCCTGCTTGATTCCCTTGGCATTCCAAGTCTAGAACCATCACAAAGGCATTCCTTGGCCGGTGACATCACGGTGGGACAGTAAAAACCATGGGCGCGAAGCCTTCCTTACCTGAAGGAAAAGCCATCTCCTGTCATGACCTCTATGACTCTACGGTTGCATGTCACCTGGAAACTTAACTGAATCAAACAGGCTACAAGCTCGAGCTGATACTGGTACCTGTTCACTCCGTGCTATCAGTGCTACCTTTGGGAAGGAGGTGTTTGATAGTGTGAGTTTCAGTAGACGAAGATCCGACAAAGCAATTAGAAACTCACAATCTGGTCTGCCATAAACCATTCAGGATATTCAGGGTGCCTCCACCTGAACCTCACTTCAGTCTCTTTGTTGGGCAGTTGGGGCCACAACGAGGCAGTATCGGGCATGAATCAATGGAACATGGAGCATTTGGCTGAGCCAAGCTCTTCACTTCCTCTTTTCAACCAACATAGCGCTACAGGCTTACAAAGGTCCTCCGAGCTCTTCTGGGAAGAGGCAAACGGTTTGAAAACGATTGTTTAGGAAATGTGCTGACTGATGCGCTTCTCAACAGCTTCGTTACAAAATCCTGCCAGTTGTCTAGAAAACTCCGCCAAAACCAGTACAGTAGTACAGTTCACCCATTCAAGTTGCAAATGAATCTAGGTGAAAAGCCTGGACGCTCTTCGAAACCGGTCGATCACATGGGCGATGGATGGTATCCACGGTTTGATCGGGCCTTCTTTTTGCTCTCGCCCCCGGTCTTTCATCCAACAATATAGGGTATTTGAAGAGTCGGAGCCCCAAAGATTGATTGGAAGGAAACGAGGCTGAGAGCTCCCCCATGGCTGGGAGGTCCTCCCAGCCATACACGCCGTGGCCCTGTCGAGCGGCAAGAGCACCAGAATTCCGATGGCCGTATCAAAGCCATTGCGCCGCTCCTGGGGACCGAGCCGGCCAGCGCCGCTCGTGAGGCGCCGCATGTGAGGCGGGCAGCCAGTCCCCGGACGGCTCCGGAGAACCCAGGGGAAGGCGAAGAACAGGGCGAACGAAGAACAGCGAACGGACGCCTTCATTGCGGGATGTGTTCAGGATGCTTCACATTGGAGATATTGACGATCGACTCCTTATAGACCCTCCGAACGGATCACCACCTTCGACTTTTAAGGCTGCAAAAGCCTCCAGGGGAGACCTGTTAGAAGAGTGCAGGTCTCCAGAAGATCTATGGGTGCTTTAGCCTCTAGACCAGATCCACCGCAGTCGGATCGGTTCCAAAGGGCGGCCCAATCGAACCGCGCGGATTCGGATGAAGTCGGCCTGGAAAGCAGAGGAAGAACGCCCTAAGAAGTATACTATACTCTCCCTGGTCAGTGGAGGCACCCCCTGTTGGTAGAGGAAAAGTGGTCTTCCAAGCATCCACTTCCATTAAAAGCAACAAAAGAGTGCTGCTACGATTCCTGACCCATTGATGTAATCGCTGTTTCTGGACACAGCCAGGCTGCATCAGTCATACCGATCCTGAGATACTCTCCGAACCCTGAACCTTCTGGTTTTGTCGTCCTCAAATCTTGGGGTATTGTAACAAGGGTTCTTGGGGATTCAGACTCTTTGATCAAGGGTGGGCCAGGAATCCTAGCATTACTTCTATCACTATCTATCACTATATAGTTAAGGGCACTCTTTCGATGCCCACACCCCAGTCAACTCTCTGAAGACTTCTTCTGGGTCTTACGGAACCCCTCTGGGACCGGTGTCGACACCCACCAACCTCGGGGCGTGGTGTGTGCGCGCCACCTCCCATCCCTGCACTCAGACAAAGGCGTTCCAGTCCAAGGACATATATATACCTAGAACCTGAGTGACCTCTATTTTTGCACCACCAACCACTCAAAATAGGGTTTTTTCCTATCAAAACAGAGGTCAATTGGGTTCTAGGTATATATATATATAGATCTATCTAAATGGCCTAATTCCATCCGGTCAATGAACTACTTGACCCTATATATATATATCTGTGGAATGATCCTCCATCGCTGCGGGAAAGGGCCACAGCCAACGGCTGCCGTGCACAGAGGGTTTCTTCGTTTTTCCTGCTTTGTCTGTCTTCAGGCCCCCTCATTTGGGTCCTGGCTAAGCCCTGGTCCTGTGGGGAGTCCTTGACATCCGGGTTTTTGGATATAGCATTGCCGCTTGATGCGATCTCTCTCTCTCTCTCTCGACTGTGAGAGAGAGAGGTGCAAGCAAACAAACGAATCCTGACCACATCTAAAGCTGGGACACCAGCAAACCCAAAGACCAGCACTCAAAGTCAGCCAGCTTGCTTCTCAGTCGCAGGGCTCCCCTTCCTGCCCAGTCCCAGGGCTCCTCCCCACCCTCCTTATCCTCACCCCTCACCCCTCCAGCTCCTGTGCCAACTTCAGATCCTTTGCGGCGGAGGACGTCGCCAGCTCGCCCGGGGTGCGCGAGGTGGTCCTCGCAGCACGGTCCCGCGCGGGTCCCACGAACATGCCGGGGCCGCCACGTCTCCGACAGGGGCGAAGAAAGACTCCAACGTGGCAAGCCTGGTGGACCTGTCCAGTTGGGTGCCGTGTAGAGACCCCTAGACTACCCTGTTGCTGTTGGAGCTGCGTTTCAGGGACTCATCGCTCTGCACCGCCCCACGACCTCACGGCCCGTCCCGCCCAGGAACGGTCGCGGCGGGTCTTTCTGGGCTCCCGCACCACGTGGACACTCGCTCGGAGCGACTGTCCTCCAGCCTCTGACGCACGGGCACGAGCCACATCGGACCTTCGTTTTTTTCGCGTCCGGAGATCCACTTTTGGACCAGTATACAGTACTAGTCCATCGCCATCCATCATTCACGGTGCTGCGAATCTGGGAATCCAATACTCCTGGTGCACCCCGTGCTCACGGGGGTCGCTCTTTTCGGTGTTTCTTGAGTTGTTTCACCTGTTCTGTCCGCTCTTGGGGCTGACACGGACGCGGGGACCCCATGGATGTGATCCCAAGAAGCATCTCATCCAATGCGACGCACCATCGAATCCAAGGGAATCCAAGATCTGGGTGGGCCCAAGTTGTAACCAAGGGGGTGAAGACCGGCCCGTGCCGTCTCTGCACAGTCTCTTGTCATTGTTCACCTCAGCTCCTTTTAAGGCAGGAACGCTAGAAGATTCGCAAAGCAGCTCATGCATCCCACCTTGAAGAAACAGACTGAGTGCCAGTGTTGCCCAACTTGTCATTGTTCACCCCGGCTGAATGCACAAAGACAAAGAAGAACCATTTCTTCAAGACCAGGCAGCTGCGTTGAGACCCCCCATTACGCGACCGTCACGCGCCCGTCACGCGTCACCTCTCAGAGAGATCTCTGGCGGTGCTATTCGTGCGCTGCTCCAGCGGCTCAAAGCTTTCGGCCTGGCCAACGGGCGCCAACGGCCGGAGAAGAAGGAGAAAAAATGAGAAGAAGGAGAAAGGGGCTGCCACACAGGAGAAAGGTTCGTTCCAATTCAGGAGAAAGGTTCTCCAAGGTTCGTTCCTCTTTCACACAACCAGCAAACCAAACAACATGTTGGGACGAAACATGTTTGCCCTCAGAATGGTCCTTTCGGCACAGCGCATCGTCATCGTCCGGCGCAGAGGGCTGCTTGGTGCAGAAGGTGGACGACAGCGGCTGGAAGCGGCACGTCTCAGCCTGCCGTCCGCGCCGTCACCGAGTCCGTCGGCTTCGCACCCCGAGGGCACCTGACCAGGTCGCTGTCTGAAGCTCCTCAAACCACGAAGTCTGGGCCCCAAACCTGGACTAACCTGGGTGCCCAGATTGTGGGCTATGGATCAACCCCCTTTCAGCAACGGGTGTCGTTGCTCATCATGGCAGACTTGCTTCAAGGGAAAAGCTTATAGGAAATCCATCGGTTCGAAAGTGAAAATCGTCAAAATCCATTAACGGAAAAGCTCAACATGAAATTCATCATCATGATCTACCCTTCCAAACCCATTCTGGGACGAAAATCGCACCAGTTCCACCCAAAAAAGAACACGTCTGCTCTCGCACCGCCTCTTCGTCCGGCAGATTCGGCTTTTGAGGCCGCAGGTCCTGCGCACCACGTGGTCTCCGGTGGTCTCGGTTTAGTGCATTCCTCCTCAATGGAACGGAAGACTACCTCTCACCTTACGTCTCACCTTTCAAACGGCCTCCAACATCCCACAAAACTGACCCAATCCAATCTGAGGTCCCGGTGATGCTGATTGCTCCACCATTCAGCCGACGCGTAAAGGCAATCACGGCGAATCGGTTCAGCAATAAGCGGTTGGGCGGTGGCATCTGCCCCTCTCGACTCCGAAGGACTGGTTGTTTCAGCACTATAACCCTAGACTTCCAAGGTCCAAGACCACTTTTAAAATGGTTGACCTGGTTTTTGCAGTGTCAAATCCTCAGTTGATTCGGTAAAGCCCATCAAGTTAATGGTTGTCGGAAGCCTAGGGTAAGTTATAAGTTACATGTTCATTAACAGCTATAGTGAGCGATAGTTAACATATGTTAACATGAGTGTACAGTGAGTCATCTGGAAGTTCTGTCTGGTTCGACCGGACGCGACCGCGCCTCCAGGTCTCCTCGCACCTCCAACTCCCCTCGCGCTCCCTCGGAGGGCGGGAACTCGTAGCTCCCCAAGCTGTCGTGCACCACGACGGGCCTCCTTGGGCGACCGACCGGCGAGGTCCGTTGCACGGCGTTCGTGCGCCACAACGCGTCCACGCCCAAAACTGGTGCGGAGATGGTGCGGAGATGCTCCTTTCTCCTCGCCCCGGCGTCACGCGCAGCAGAACTCTACAAGCAGGACGGCAGCAGAATCCGACTCCGGAATCCGGACAGCGAAGTGAACCGAACTGGGCGAACTTCCTCCGGATCGGTGAGACATGCGCTGGCACACGCCGCGGTGGTGAGACAGCTATAACATGCTATAACAAAACACTCAATGGCAGGGTTCATGCCATGTAGACTCATCTCTTTTTTTCGGTCCCAGGCCATGACTTGGGGAGGTTGATGCCAAGTGACTCTAAGGCCTCCAGCGCATGGCGATGCAGCTGCACCACTTCTTGGAGTTCGTCTTGCTGCTTTCGATTCAACTCCAGCCTCACACCGGTTCAGCTTCCAATCGAATGTTCCGTTCGACCATCGAATGCTCGGTATCTTAAGACCTCCTTTCGACCCTGGGGCCCGACCCTGGGTGACCCTGGCGAAGGTCGGGGCCTTCGAAGTCATGACCAACCCCACCACCGTCGCCGTGGACTAGGAAGGTCACCTCCTCCCACCTCCGGAGCTGCCCCCGCGCCGCACCCGGGACGGACGATCGGCGGGGTCGGATCGGATTTGGGGGGGGGGGCCGCCTCTTTGGTGGTGAAAACCTCGGACGCCACAGGCGCAAAAGCCTCCCCCAAAACTACAGTAGTGGGTTGTCCCTTCAACTGGAAAATGAGGGCATGGTGCAGCAACGAGCTAACGAGCAAGGCATCCCAAACTGCTGCTCTGCCCATGGTGGATCCTTGTTTGCAGGCAGAGTGCTACTGGTCCCTGGCCCAGGCCCCTTCAGCTTCAAAGTGTGGGGAGTGGCGAGAGGCATGGGGTTGGTCGCTGAAGGACGTGGCCCCATTTTCCAAGGCACAAGCGAGAGATCAACGCATCCAAGGGCGCCTGCAGGTTCTCCACCCAGCTGTCGCCTAAATAGCGGCGGAGACATCGAGCTCCAAAGCAAGGACCTGGCGAACCATCCCACCCATTGTATGTCAATACTGTGACCTGTATCACTGTATAACTCTTCTACACATGGAGCTGGGCCTGGTAGGTGGATGATGGGATTCTGGCCTTCCCTCTTGGGAGGGCCTGGTGGTCCTCGCCCCTGTTCCTTGGGTCTGGTGCCCCACGAAAACACCTCCATCCGAGAGGCAGGGACTGCTCATCCGCTGCATGCCCATCAGCGACGAGGTTGAAAGGGCCACATGCAGAAGAGAAGAAGCAAGTCTCAAGCTGCCCTCTTGTTGCTTCATGTTTGTGAAGAAGCCAAGGTGAACAAATTACAAACTCTCTTAATCTGTGCAATCTCCTGTGGACCTCTCGCTTGCTCGAAGGAATCTGTGAGTGCTACATATGTTTCAACACCTTGCGAAATGGATTGCACTGGCACACTGCATCGGCCGGAAGCCACAAGAGCCAAGGTATACCCCATCCCACTCAGAGAACACAAGGATGCTACAAGGTATCATTTTCGGAGCCCAGCACTGGATGAGCTCTAGAAAGCCCTGCACGCCGTCTTTCATGAGTGCCACCCTTGTGCTAGAAGACCACTTGAAACATGTGCGCAAATTCGGGAAAAAACATAACCCCAAAATCGGTTTCAGGCGCACCGTTGGCCAAACCCAAGTCCACCGTCAAACCAAGCGATCCACCGCCCTTAGCCGTTCAGATGCTTCCACCTCCATTCCGTCCTCCGCTCAGGCAGAAGGACATGCTCAACACCCCCGTCAGACTCGAGGACCGAACCCGAAGGAGCCGAAGGAGCCGAGCCTTGGGTTGTTGCGAGTCGGGATGTTCATCTCCATCCTCCCACTCCAAACACGAGTATGGTTCAAAAGCACAGGTATGACCACACCAGGTTTTGCCCCCAAGGGCAAGGCGCTCGACAACCGGGAAGTAGGGAGGAGGCACATGTGGAAGTTTCTCTCCTGAACCTCTCCAGAACTGACCCCAGGTCGACAAATCATAATTCCATATAATTCCAAACAACCCAGAACCACCTCCAGAGCTCCGGCCCCACCTTCACCTCCACTTCCTCCTTGGCGTCCTCCTTGGCCTCCTGCGCCTCCGTCTCAGCCTCCTTGGAGCTCTGAGCTTGCCTGAGCAGGTGTAGATAGATGGTAGCCCAAGGTCCAATCAAGCACGCAAATCAGTCGCCAAAACAGAAATGAGACGTGGGTGTGCATTTCAATAGGGGGGCCCTCTCAAAAACGCATTGGCTGGAGGTTTTCTTCTTACTATAATTGACACACGCACACGAGCACACAAACATACATGCACATGTGCCACAGTTTGCCCAAATTCTTGCAACCTTGATAGTCAAATGTCTCACTCCGACCAAGGACTGCTCCGACTTAAGCTGTCACATGGTGGCTGCTTCATATTCAACCAGTAGTTCTGGGGGTCCTATAGTTGCAATCAAACAGGCTCGTTGGAAATTGGAGGCTTTTCTCATTCCCAATACCCAGTCACGTGCTCGAAAGGGAAGACAGTCAGTGCAATCATGTTTCTAAACAGGGGATTTGGGGTAGTGCAATGTGGCAAAGGCACATCTACGGGGGTTCTTCCCAACCTGTGAGTTCCCAATGGCGCCACGTAGCTTCATCGCTTCACTATCTTCACTCTGAAGGATGGAGGAACACCCCAAAGACCCTTGCTTTTTTCCTTGCCATCTCTCCATTCCAAGCACCAAACCGATGCCGGGTCCAAGTCCGAATCCATGGATGTGTGTCGGGCCCCTCCACCCCCTTGGGTGGTGAGTGGTGCTTCATGGAACATCGTTCCTGCAGCTCTTTCCGGCTCATTCCCCCCGTCGGTCCAACCGTCGGTCCCGGCCTAGTCTGTAAGATCCGTTCGTAGGCAGCACGCGCGGCCTGCCGCACTTTCCGCGATCGGTGGACCCTCAAGCGAGTGACGAACTCTGCAGCTCAGGTGGGCTAGTGGCTAATTTTAGAAGAAGGAAACATTTGGATTCAGAAACCTCTTCATCATATCGGCTGCATTATTGATAAACTGTCTAGATCAATTAGATCCTCAACACACACACACACACACACACTTCCGGAAGCAGGACCACGCGGCCCGGACCCTTCAGAGGGGTCGCTGACTGCCGGTTGCCTTGAACTGCTCGGCGTTGCCCCCCTTGTCCGGATGAAGTCGCATCGCGGCAGCCTGGAGGCCGTGCCGGCGGTGCTGGTGGAGGTTCCTCACGCATCACGCTCCGTTCTCCGTTCCAATCAAATCCAAAGAGAAGACATACAGGGATGCTGATGGCAGGTGACCTTGGAGGTGAATTCACATGTGCAGGTCCAATCTGAGACCTCTTGCTCACCAAGCCGTCTCCCAATCGGGCCTTGTAGGCCTTATTGAGGTCTGAATCCGAAATCTCCGGTGCCACACCCAGAATGGTGTAGGCCTCTCCGGTCATCGAAGAGGCCGACGAACCAACGGATCAAATCCAGCCGTCTGGCGCGACCCGATCAGGTCGGCGGAAGGCAACCCCCAAAAAATCCACCCGCAGAGAGAAAACAAATGGACAGTTGTGGTTTATGGCGACCACCTGGCACGGACAAACTGGACGGTATTTTTCCTTGGCCATGCGCAAGCACTTTTGCAAGTGTCGCCGGCATGCAGGCACGAAGAAAGCCTGCAACTTAAAATTCCTGGAATAAGGTGGAAGCGTATGAAAAACACATCTGCACCTACCCACCCCACTTGTGACTGTGTGCACTCAGCCACTGAACTCGAAAAAACGCCTCGTGGTTCTGCAGGTCTTCAATCATGGCCTGGTGCCGCGTCGAACCGAAGCAAGCGCGCAAGAGATTGGGCCATGTTCCACTGAACTGTCTGTGGGCTTCGGGGTGGCGATGAATCGTCGAAGAACATGGACATCAGTTCTAGGAGAAATGAGAACTACTGTCATGCCACGATGGGTGTGGACTGTTATGAGTTATTCGGACTCCATGTATGAATTAGAAAAGAACTGGGCACCTTTGGTTTCTGGGCGTGCACCTGTTGTTTCGCTCGCCACGTCGCAACTCGCTGTGTGGACAGGTGGGTTCCCGATCCGGTTCCCGATCCCACCGGCCGCCTTGAGGGCGTCCTTTTGCCAGGACAGGTCCAGCAAGTAGCGGCTGAGCTGCTCATTGTGAACCTAGCGCTCGGCGCCCTTCGTGTGGGCCATGCAGGGCGAAGAAGTGTGCACCGAAGATGAGCAATGAAGTGATGTTGGGCCCATGCTTTCTGCAGTGGATGGTACATCCCCAGATCCCAGTGACCAGCTGGTTTCCAACAGCTTTGCGGGTGCACAAGATCCCGACTGGTTGGATGCTGACGGTTGCTGGAATTCCCACATTCCAACTCCACAAATGTGGGACTTCGTCAACTCCACCGGCTCCTCGGGTGAGGGCGCGTCTCGCGCGTCTCGGCGTCTCGTTTCTGCATCTCGACCCGCCCCGCGGCGCGCGGAATGGGTGTGCAGGTGACTCGTCCAACTGGGAGAATCCAAGGGCACCATCGGCAGGCAAAGCGCCTTCTTCATCCTTCTTCTACTCAAGGGCACCGATGCAAATCCCGTTCTACTGACAACCATGGAATCCTGTTGAAAAAGGGCCCGCTCGGGGTTCATGACGCCGTCGGCTTCTTCGTTGAGCAGGATTCGTCGGTTTTGAAACATTGACGCGTCTCGTCTGATGCCGTTTCTGCCGTCGCTTCTCCTGTCCCAAACCCCCAGCCACCCACTCCAGGCCCCCCTTCCCAGCCCTCACGCGATGCGCAGGCGGGTGATGCGCAGGCGATGCGACGGGGCCTCCCTCTCCTGCTCCGAAAGCTGTCGCTGGGCTTCAGCCTCGGCTCCCACACGGTGAACGAAGGACGTCGAGCGTCGAAGCGAAGACTCTCATCATCCGAGTGGGGGGAGAAAAAGAGATGAATCCCCATGCCGCGTTCACACGGTGGGTATTCCATTCATACCTGGATCTTCCAACTGTCTTGAAGCTTGGTTAAAGTCTGCCTTTGGGTAGTCTTTAAAGATTAAAATGTTGAAAATATGATGTACACTTCCAAGATGGGAGAGTAGAGGGAGGTACCTTTCGGGTTAATTTCCCTAAGGCAGGGAACACGAAATGTGCAGAAATTCAGCATTCTCGGAAGATCCCGGCACGTCCCAACGCCGAACGCTTCCGTGGCGGTTCCGGATCGGGTTCCGGTCGTCTGGGTCACGATGCAGGTAGGCCATGGCTGTGGCGTCCAAACCTGGAGCCCTGGTCCCACCATGTAGCGAAAGACCTCCCAGGCAGGTCAACCAACATATTCTGGTTTAGACCCACAGCCATATAGGGGTGGACCCCCAATGGAATTTTGGTCGTTTGCGCTTCTTGCAGGAGTGTTTTGGGTGGTCAATGCTCCATATTCCATCAAGCCACCAAAACAATGGACCCGAACACTGAAAAGGAGCTCCTGGCCCCCTCTGATCCCCATTCCCAAGCTGATCGCGCGCTGCACAGTTTGTTTGGCTTGAAGAGCGCGGGTTGCGCTTTGGACCTCTGTCTGGTCCAGCATCTGCTGAAAGCAGCCAGCCAGATCCGTGTTTGCGGGAGCTATCTTGGTGTAGAGTCGGATGGCAGCAGCCCAAACAGAAACTATACAGGATGTGTGGGAAAAGTATCCAATATTTTTCAGCACCAGGGACTTATATATAATATATATATATATATATATATCTACTCACGCACCATGCTGCCCCATCCCCTGCTCCCTCCATCCGCGTCGACCCAGCTTGAAACAATGGCGCTTTCCCAGCAGGCTTGGCAGGTCTTGAGAAGTGGAATTCTCAAGGAAAGAAATGATGAATGCCTCTCCCTGGAAGTCCATGACGATTTAAGGAGAGTTGTCTACCTGGGTCGCCTGAAAGTCGGTGGTGCCAAAACTAGCCTTTGGTTTGGACTTCTAGGGTTCTTGCATTCCATACAAGGATGAGGTCTATCTGGCCCTCTCTGTGCATCTAAAGGATGGCGAGGCCACTTCCGTGCATTGTCTCAACATGCAAAAACGATCAAAATGTCTCAGATTCCCTTGGCGAAGCGGTATGCATCCTTTCCGTCTTGAATGCGTGCCCGTGTGCCCATGCCAACCCTTTGGAACTTCGGCTGAAAACGCCGGGAACCAAGACCGGGAATCGGAAGAAACAGAGTCTGGCAAAACGCAGCCCCGCTTCCGAGGATCCCAGTCTGAAACATAGAACCTTAAATCAGAATCTTCACCAACCTCGCTTGCGAAGCCAACCTCGCTTGGCTTAAGCTGCGACTTCAGAGGAGCCTGCACGATGATTGACAGTGCCTGGTGTGCCTGGAACTTCTCACTCGTATTCTGCCATTGACTTGATCCCGTGGTGCAACATGATAACTGATAGGAGCACTCGGATGCTCGAAATGAGGGTTCTTGAAGGTCAACTAGGCTTGAAATGAGGACCTCGATGCAACTCTGACCACACCAAGCGCCCCAAATGCCGACATGTGACCCAAGTGAGCCTACACCTTCTAAAGATTTCTCCATCTCACCACCACTTCTCTCACCAAAAATGGTGCCTTGGCTTACTTATGTTTCACCGCGCGCGCGGCCTCGGGAGTCGATCCACCTCTTCGCGTGAGTCGCTCAAATGGACTTGCGCAAGGCGATGATGGTACTGGTCAGGGCCAATGCCATGGATGCGGCCATGGCTGGCTGATCCTACGCAGAGCCCAGGGGTTGGGGTCTAGGAAGGTCTGGGCAATCAGACTGGATGAGATCCAGGGGCCAAAACCGGATCTGGTGGAGTTCCAAGGGGGGGGCGCTTCTTGGAGGGGCCAAAACGGGTGCCAACCTTCTCCACCACTGGGCTCAAGATCTCGGACCCCCATCAGTTGGTCCAGCAACGTCGCCTCAAAAGGTCAACCCGCCAAAATGAATTGGGCCTCTTTTGCACCCCAGATCGAACGAGTTCACATGCCTTCAACATGTCGTTGGAGACACCCTGGCATCGTCAAACGACCTGAGGACCATGGGTTTTTGGGGCCTGGCCCCTCAAATTGCAACTAGCTGACACTCCTCGATCCAGCTGACAAACTAGCTGGCGCTCCTCGATCCAGCTGACAACACCCTTGCTTTGCTTCGGCTTGATAAGCTCCTGGCAGCCAAGGAGCTTAGGAAAGAACATCCTGGCAGCCTAACAAAGGCATGTTCCGATCCCGGCTGGTGGCTATGCATCCATGACAAACTCACCGATGATTCATCTTTTGGTTTTGTTCTTCCAAACATGACGTGTCACCAAGAACTCTTCGCTCAAAAAAGAAGTGAGAATAGGCCCTGAGGTGCCACATTTCCCGCCAGGGTGGGACTCCACAATTCCACGATGCAATCGGACTTCTTGAAATGCCACTCTAGATTCTAGATGGTGTCTTTCTCGGATCTCCCTTACACCCCAGAATCATGATCTCTGCAATATGGCCTCATGTGAACTGTTTCATGGTGATGGTGGCCCGGCCAGCTTGCTGCTTCGGGGGCAGCTCAGCTCGCAGCTACATGCATGCACCCTGCCTTGCCCACTTCGCAGGCCACCTTCATGACTTGATCCTGGGCGGATCCGGTGTTCAGGGTCTCATCGCGGGTGCCCAAGAAGGTGCTACCAGCCAGGAAGTGGTAGGATCGTGATCGCAAGCTGACAGGTGTGCCCGACTATCTTTTGGAAGCAGCCAAAGACCAGGTGTTGCAGGATTCTGGCTTGTGATGCCTATGTGGAGTTTGCTGGACATGCAGCAGAACCCTCAAAATCATTCTTTGAGCCCCTGAAGCATGTGTCGAGGCTGACTTGGAGGCTTGCCTCCCTCAGTCGAAAGTGGACCAAAGCCACTTTGCGAACGCAGATTGTCCAAGCCAGTTGGCCAATTGATTCTCCATGTTCGATGATCTTTTCCTAGCCCCTCGCCTTTTTGGCAGGAAATCTGACATTCACCTCCCCCAAGTATGAAATGCTGATCGAATATGTCGCCAGAAAGGCTCCAAAAAAAGGCTCGCTCAAGCCACTACACCTCACCGAAACGGTTCCTCCTCTCACAGTGATTCCGGCTCGAGTTGCGGCCTTCTCGCTTTCGGCCGTGCTGTTGCGGCTAAATTCCGGGTCAGGCTCAAAGCACCTGTCAAGTCATGGCTGTCAAGTAGCTTCCGGGGGGCGGCCAGGATAGGAGCTCGAGGTGACCCGCCCAAGGGGATAGCAGTATCTGGGGGCTCGCATGCATGCAGTGCCACAACTGCACTGAGGCAGCATATATATATATATACACATATAATCACACATATATATATATATAGTATGGAGCCGGGGGGGCAAAACAACACAAACAAAGTGTCCTTCTATCCTGGCTTTGATGCTGTGGCGACCTCGACCAAGCGGTCCTTCGGGCGATGTTCAGCGCAACCTTCTGCAGCACCTAGACCTATCTGGGGGTACGCCTGGACCTGGCGCCTCTTGGAAAATCGAATCTTTAAAATCCATCCTCCCTCTTTTGTGCCTCCCCCCGAGTCCCGCGCCAAGCCACAAGCTTCCCGTCTTCGAGGCGGCACGCGAGGAGCCGCGGCGGGTTCCGGACTTGCTGACGCGCTCCATGATGCACAGACCCGAGCCCCCGAACTGCGACGGGCGGACCGCGCGCTTGTCGGAGGGGCCGCAGAGGTGCAAACGGCCTTGTCCATCGAACTTGAAGATGTATGGCAGCGTCACTGGCTGGCCTAAGGGAAGGTTGAGCAAAAACGACATCCATCAGTGAGAGAGAGAGAGAGACGAGGGATTTCAAGAAGACTGCCGCTGATCCACTCACTCAGAAATGGACAGGTGGACTTTGCCAAAAGCATAGCTGGCCTCCACCTTTCTTGCCTCACAAGACCCTGCGGGGCCTTCGTTTCATGGGCCAAGATGCTTCCGAGGACTTCAATATCCAACTGGTGAGGCTCCACGGCACAGTTCATGCGGAAGCGACCTTCCAACTTCTGCCCCATGAGCGTGATGGACACATGGATGCAGTCCTTGTCAGACAGCGTGAATGGACCCGATAAAATGTAAAGTGGTGAGGAGATGGTCACCACTTTACGACATCCAGCGGGCTGCAACTGAAGACGTGTAGAAAAACACCAAGAATGGAAAGATCGCGCACCACCACGAGCGGGAAGAAAAAACGGCTTGAGCTGCCTTTAAGTAATCTTTTTGTCGACAAATATGCTCTTGAGATCTCTTGAGGGACACTCGTGTTCCATGTCCATCTACTTCACCGTCACACTCAGCAAAATGCTGGCGACAGCTTCCATCATCCAAAACCACGGCATCGAACATTCCCAAGTATATAGACGATTCATAGGCTATGCCGCCATCCTGAACCGCGCGGTTCGCGGGGAAACAGGGGAAACATCCCCAGACCCACCCTCACGACCTGCTGCCCAGCATCGTTGTGGAACTCAATCCGCTGGTCATAACCTTGGATTTGCTAAAGGAACCGAGAAAAAAAAAGACGAATGTAACGACATATTTTTGCCGGAAGGGGATTCACATGGATTCACCCATAGAGAAACTTAAAAAAGAAGAAGCCAGCAAAACCAGGTCTCTGCCCAACTTCTCGCTCGTGGTGCCCTCCCAGGTTCCAGCGATGCGAGCGTCAAAGGGCGCTTGGAAGGGCGTCTTCTCAGCCGCAAAGGCTCCCAGGTGTGACATCGTCTCCTGAACGGCTCGGCTTAGATGGGTGAAGACGTGGTCCGCGGCCAGTCCAGTCCCATGACCGGCTTAGATGGAGGGGAAGTGGAAGACCATCCACCTACACCCCGAGTTCAACTGGAAAAACCATCACAGATTTGGGTGCTGAACCGGTCCCACGTACCTCTTCCGTATGCTTTGACCAGACCCAGCTGGGCGCAACGAAAGGACGGGGACCATGAATCCACTGGCTTGCATTCATCTAGGGCCACTTCTATACCTGATTCTACCTGGCCCCCTATCTTCTACGGTGGGGCATGCGAAGACGTAGCACGCAAAGAACGTGCACGGCTGCCGGCTGAGGGTCGTCAGAGATGACGGAAGGTCCCCAGTAGGCGCTCGCTTCCTCGCTCTCCCGCACAGAGCTTCCATGCAGGATGGCCTGGTTCGACGGGGCGAGGTCTTCTTGCGACACGATTGGCGTGATGCAGATGATGGATGGAGGGAGGCAGCCCGTTCGCATCGGGCACCCATTAACATCGTGGAACTCCAGCCCTAGCCAATCAGTGGCACAAACTACACCAGTTCCATGCTATTTGAGAACATTTGAAGACCTAACCATCGCTCCCAGAAAATGGCCTTGCGGGCTTTATTTATTGGGTCCTGATACAAACCTGGAAGATGCACAGAAAGTGGGTAGATTCTGCCTCTGAATCCCAAATAAGCTTCCCCCACCCACGGCCTTTGCGCCTCGCTGTCCCCCCTCCCAACCACCGTCCGCTTCCGCTTCCGCTTCCGCGCTTCCCTCCAAGTCGCGCTGGCGCCCAGCTTCGTCAGGTCCGCCAGGTTGGCCACGATCGCGGAGCCAGAGACGTCGGAGAGCTGCGTCGATCCACCCGTGCTGGTCTGCACGTCCTCCACCTCTTGCAGAGGTCTCTCTGGGCACCACCGAAGCACCGGGGTTTGGGGCGCCGAAGGTGGATGCCTTGGATGCCTTGGATGCCTTGGTTCCGTTACTGTTGAGAGTCCTGTGATCACGAAAAAGGGCGGGAGGGGTGGGGGTTTGACCCCAGCACTGGTGGCATATTGGGTGCTTTCTTGCTCACGCCAGCACAAACGCCCCGGCCTTGAAGCTCTCGAATCCGGCGATTCCAGCGTCAGCTTCCTTGGATTCATCCTGAGATCGTTGGGGAATTACGATTTGCAGACATGTCCACCAACATGGAATTCAAGGAATTGACCCAACAAAAAATCCGGCTGAAACTGCTTGGGGTCTATGCTCGTACCATTCCAAACACCCATCACAAAGTTCAAAGGAGGGTGGGCAGGAGGGGAACCACCAAAGAGCACCTCTCAACCGTGCAGAGCAGGCCCCCACCGCACCATCCGCACCCTTTCACGCCACTCCAAGCATCCATGGAGGTGGCAAATTGGATGGCAGCCACCAAGTGACGCTCTTTGCCCTGGCTCACCGCCGAGCGAGGCACCACCGACAGATGCAGCGTCGCGGAGAGCCGCGCGGAGGTGGGCTTGGAGAGCATCTTGCCTGATCGCGGAGGGGGGACGAGTGAAATGGGCCCCCATCTGCTTTTTCCCGCAGCTCGTGAGCCTGGTCCATTTGGGGGGGGCCACTAGAGAAGACAAACACTTGTTCCCCACAAAAGGACGGAAAGTGCGGTGGCGAGTGGGCTTTGTGAGCCACTTCGCCGCAATGAGCCGAACGTCTACATCCATCCGCGGTGCTGTGCAAGACCTGCGCAATGGGTGGCATGGATCCTCCCGAGCAGGTCCAAATGCCCTGTGTGGACAGGCTCACTTCGCTACCCTGTGGGCAATCAGCTTGGCGAACCACGTTGCGGACATAGGCAGCAAAGTCGGACTTGTCTTCCTCGGTGTCACCACCGGATCCCAGCCATGGACGACAACAGCATCCAAGTCACAATCGAGAAGTAAACCCCCAACAAGACACTAATTACTTGGCAAACTCCAGGAAAAGCGTCATACTCTCCAAGTTCCTAGATTTGTTTCATCTCCATTCCTGTGCTTATTTCGTCGGCTGCCAAGGATCTTCACCCGCCAATAGATCCCTCAGGTTGGCTCCCGCCACGCGGCAGCCCAACATCTTCTCAAGTTTCTCCATGTCGCCTGACATCTGGGGTGGCAACTTGCAGCGGCCAGCAGCATCCAAGACGCAGGGGAGGATGATGTCGAAGCTTCCACGGAGGATGGAGATCATACCTACAAGGCAGGCAGAGTATGTAGCAACAGAGTGGTTTGACTGAAAAAGCCTCATCGGAAGAGTTCCTTGTCGGTGCCAAATGGACGTTTCCTGTAGGTTTTCTGATGCTCCTGTAAAGAAATCCTGTATGATGCGAGTGGTTTTGTCAGGAAATCGAAAATCCGTGAAAAGGTTCCTTTGGCTCCCCTTCTTACGCGAAAGATCAACATCAAATGTGCTGTGAACAGTCAGTCATACAAGTTTGCCGCATGATTGATTTAACCCCACCAAGCCAGGATAACAGTCCACTGTGCAATGTTCCAAGGCTACTCATGCGTGGGTTGAGGAGTAGTCGCCCCACCCGCAGTTTTCGACACTCGCACATGCCGTCCCTCCAGCAGGCAGGTCCAAGTCCACGTGTCCTCGGTCCGGGTCTTTTCTGTTTTTCCGAGGTCCAGGGCACCCACGTTGGACACGCTCACCTTCCTCAGAACATCCGTCAGGGTCTTGTGGTACTCATCAGCACGAATAAACACGAAGGCCGCGCAGTAGGCGATCTTGGATCCAAAGGTCAAAACGAAGAATCCCTTGCCTTGGCATTGCTGTCGAAGCCTGGAAAACACATGCAGGCTTCTAGTGTCCAGGTTTGGGGATTTAACCGTTAATATCCGTTAATTAAGAATCGGCATAGCATCAGCTTAAGCAAAATCCAGGTTGCGTTCCGTATGTGCATCGATGAATCCCATGACGGAACTCATGTAGACCACACCGTACAGCACAAGGTACAGGCTCAGCCCATTGGAAAGCCATGGTCGAATGCCTCTGCTGGGCAAATCTTGTGGTGCTGAACGCTCGAATTGCTGGACCCATGCCAACATATCCAGGGAGGCCCATCCATACATGGCGAAGGCAACACCAATCAGCCTCGGAACATCTCTGCATCGACTCACGTCCACCAGTGGGAAGGTGTCCTGGTCTTTTGGAGGAAAACCGGTTCATGACCTGCCTGGAGACATCCAAGTCGAACAGATTCAAAGCAAGGACTAGAGATTGCAGAGTAAACTGGCCATCGGGCATTCGGCAGCGCTTCTTTAGCTGAAGCTGCTGCGATTCCATGATTCTATGATGGATGAATCAAAGATGCACATGAGGCCCTCGTGGCCGACGAGGTGCATCCATTTAAGCAAGCCAGACGTGGTTGCTGTCGCAGCCCAGCAAAAGATGACATAGACGTTGGTAACGATCAAGGGGCGAGACACTTCCTGCAGGACGATGGGACAGGCATAAGGGAGATGGAAAGACCGTGTTAGTGTAGACTCCTGATTGATCAACCTCCCATATGCTCAGGTTGAAAGAGTTTATTGCTCTTGGACTCTGGGGTTGTACCCCCCAAAGTACCTATGGATTTTGGCTCGTCGTCCTCACCCGCCTAATGGCGTGGATACATACAAGTTCATTCATCGTATATATCTTGGAAGAAGCTCATACCAACCCACCGTATCGAAGAATCTAGACCACCTAGTAGTAGCCCACCGTTCGTAGCCCAGCGGCTGAAGAAGAAGTCACGTCCGTTTCTTCGCCTCTGCACGAGGTTTCGCCTCTCCGAACTCCAAACCAAACCGCACTCGTTCGGTTTCACCCTTCGTTCGGTTTCACCGGTGAAACCGGTCGTCCTCTACCGTATGAATCACCACACGGCTCAGCGGCGGCGGCCGCATCGACCGGACGCACACGACAGACCCGGACAAAGATAGATACAAAAGGGTGGTTTTGCGACAGACCCAGCTGAGGATTCTGTACCGTTTGCGCGGCGATGGGTAGAAGAGGTTCTACAATCCAAATGGGGGGCTTCTTCATTAAGAGCTCTACATGACCTCAAAACGTCGCAAAACGGATGACCCATCGTCAAAAGAATGGGGCGCCAAGCCGAATCGGAGTGACAAAAAGCGGAATTGGCTCCTGCAAGGGACGGCCCAGGCTGCAGTAGCCGGACAGGATCATCAGGATGGGCACATTGATGCCCCACTCCATGTACCTTCAAAAGAAGTTTTGGCGGCTTTGGCTGAGTTTTCAGGGCCCTCCCAGGGTCCTGAGGCATTGAGCCGTTGACCCCGTACAGTACAAATTCTCTACGGTATTTGCCGCTGGTGGCCGCTGGTGGGACCCCATCGCGGTCTCCTTTCCTCGCATCCGCCATTGAGGACTCGAGGTCGCTCTTTTTTCGGCTCTCTCGCTCTGTCTATCTCTGTCTCTCTGCACAACAATGTAACAATGAGCACAAACAGGAAACTCGAGGCTACTGTGCTATACACTGTCTCTACTGGCATCAACATCGATATGAGATGAAACAGCGCACTTTTGTTGAGAAACGCCATGCTAGTCAACAGCATATCTCATGCGTCCTGAAACTGAAACCTTTAAACCCCTCCTCGCCAGCCACCCGGCCACTCACAAATGCCCCCAAGGGTTGCCCCCCGCGGGCCAAGATCCCCAAGATCGGAGTTTTCTTGTTGCCCTCACCCAACGCTACCGATTCCAAAGACGCCGGCCGTGAGGGCCAGTCTCCTTCCCCAACTCTCCTTAACTCTCCTACATCAGGATCCAGGCGCCTGCATCGTGTACACGGGACGGCCAGGGGCGGTGAGTCCATCTGCATTGGGCTGGACGTGGGCGATGGTCCAGTCGGCGCGAGAGAAGAGGCGCTCGGCGGTCGCCAGGACACCAAACATCAAGGCCAGGAGGAAGCTGGGCCTCATCTGGCAGGAACGGTATGAAAAAAAAGCGGAAGAACGAAATCAAAGGAGCATGGAGCCTGTTCCAAGGAACACGGCCTGTTGCTTCCGTGTCGAACTGATTACCATGGGTCCCCGCGACGTGGAACTGCCAGCCGCCTGGCTCACCGGCCAAATCGGCCCGCTTGGCCGGAGGTGTAGTCCCCTTCTGCTCATATGGGGCTCAACCCGGAAAAGCGAGACATCAACCACTAGGCATCACTAGGCACTGCGTCGTCTTTGCTTCACCCCCGCGGTCCTTTAAAAAATCTGATAATTCCAGCCAAGGGCACAAGCACCTGCTCTTCAAGTGCGGGATCAAGGCTTGTGTCTGCTGCGATCCCATGTAGGTGGCGATAAGGCCACAAATCTCATGCGCAGCCATAGCAACCAAGGCAGCTGTCGAAACGATGTGGTAGTATCCTGCCAGCTGCACCGGAGAGCGCGCACTACGTACGCGCGAGCCCGATCAAACCAACAGCAGCTGCTTGCCAGAGCGTTGGTTCTTTTTCTGAGTGCCAAGGTGACTGTTCGCAGTTCTTTGTTTTTGCCCCATGCTTGAAGTTGTTATATAATGAATTATTGAGATGCTGAATTCTATACTCGCTAGCTGAATTGCGAAGAATGCCCGTTCTGTGCGAGATATCATCCACCATCATCCACCCAAAGAACCAAACGGTTCCAATACCTGGTGCACAACCATTCTGAACATAACTGTCACGGACCGTCACCCCCTCCATCCATCTCCATCCCATATGGAACTCTCATCTGGTCGCCTGGATAGGTTTGAAGTTGCTTGGAGCATGTTGGGACATCTTGGCAAGGTTCCGGCGCCACCACTGACCAACAAATGGCCCAAGTGGCCAGGGTCGCCCCAGCCCACACCGGAAGTTGCTGAAGCAAGCTGGTCATCTCAGGAAACTGGCAGTCCCTACGAGTGCGTTTAATCGCCGAGCAGCTCTAAACTGGTTCCAAAGGGCTGCGGTGCGGCAGTGAAAGCATCCGTTCTTTGTGGCCATCGAAGCGAAGCGCGAACCACTCCAAGTGCGGCTCGGGGGAGTTAGCGAACGGCTTCCGCGAAACCAACGGAAAGGTTTGCCGCCCTCTCGAAACAGAACACCAAAAAACATTCCTTTGGGGGGACACGTCGAACTTCCTGGGAATGGCCACTCTTCGCGGCAAAGGGACAAATTATATCTTATACATATGCATATACGTATCTTATGTCTTTCACGAAAGGTTTGCGGACCCATCACGAAGCACATTCCCAAAGAACATGCCAGTCTATGCTTGGCATGTGCCAAAATACTTGCGCGGACCATCATCGCCGATCTTTCATTGGCTTTGCAAAACACCAGACATAGGTTCACGCTACTACATCACAGGCCTCCAAATCACCTGCCAAAAACCAGATCAACTCCCACCTTGCCTCTACCCGGCGATCCTGGAACCGGAACCGCCGCCCTGCCGGGGCTTCAACCCCCCCTGGACCCCGAGCTCCCCGGACCGCTTCCGCTTCGTCGCGCTGCAGCTCTCGTTGGGCCAAGCGAAAGACCTGGCCGCTCCGAGGGGACCGTGGAGACCGCGGTCTTGGAACAGTGGAAGGGCGTGGAAGGGGGGGCCGGTTGTTGTGCTAGTGAGGTGCTTGCCAGGGGTTGGGGAACGGGATTGGGGAACGGGCCTGATGCCAGACACGAAGCTTGGGCTTGGAATGGCACACAGGGCTGGAATTCATGGAATCACGGGTTGTTTGGTGCGATGCTTTCATCCAACTAAGGCCACAAGCTTGTACAAGCTTTATATACACCTCCATCACCCATGAACAAGCTGAATCTTTGAAACCCCAGGCTTCTGGCCCTTCGCCTCCTCTCTTTCACCGCCCCTTCGCCGGGTCGAGGCGCACCTCCACAGAGCGGCTGGAACCAGCGCTCCCCGCTGGATTGGCGGATCGCAGGAGCTCAGCCGCTTGGCGGAGGATCTCCAGATCACAGTGGACCTGGGAGGCCGGGAGGGCGGGAAGGATGGGGTGGAGGAGGACGCGCGAACCGATGCGAAGGCATGCATCGGATCAAACGGACCGTAGCACTTCGTGGGAGTTGGGAAAAAGAATCGACCACGAACCTCGATTGGTTGGAGGCCCCTTCTTCGAAAAGACTGTCGTGGACAGCCCTGACCCTCTAAGGACTATTAAACACACCCTCAAGGAGGCCATGGTACAAATCCACATCATATAGCAGTTTTTTGTTCAACAGTCAACATGATGTAGTTGCAGCCAAGAATAACAGCAACTTACAAAGCCTTGAATGCGCATTCTTCGCATCGGGAATTGGGAAGACTATATAGTGACTAGCCAAAGGATCTAGTTTTTGTGAACACACCCGCAGGCAACATCACAAAGCATTGCACATCTATTTCAACAAAAACACCAAGGTCAACAACATCATCTCTGCGCGTCCCGAGCCTGCAAGAAATGAAAGAGGCCACCCAGTTTGCGCCTTGGCTTTGACAAACATCCCCGCCCTCCTCTTCCTCCTCTTCCTCCTCTTCCTCCTCATCCTTGTCCTTGTCATTATCACCCTCATGCTCACCATCCTCCTCCACGTGTGACCCTCCTTCAAGATCCTTCAAGTGTGTGTGCCGTGTCGAACGCCAAACTTGTCCTTCCTAAGTGCTGGTCCTGAGGTCGAAATGCAAAATATCATGAGATTCATTGGAGATGCGTTTCTTAGGTATCAAGAATTCATTCAAGATAAAAGAGAAAGAAAATTAGAACATACGCGACATACATTCTAGAGCACCATCACTGTGAACATCTCGACATCGGGTGATTCAACTCCTGCCAAGCTGCTGCGGATGCGCCTGCCCCCCGAGTCGGTCGGGACGATGCTGCTTTCGTGGTGGCGATTCGACGCCCCTTGAGACTCGTAGAAGCTTTTGGGACCGATCTGCAGGGGTGTGTAATCAGGGGTGTTTAGTCTTAATAGGGAGACCCCCGACCATGGGTAGACCGGTCGATGTCCCTTCTTGGCAGGGGGTCGTTGCCTGGGAGGTCTCCCGATGTTAATGCATCACACCCGCAGGGATGTATCTGCTGGAAGCTATTCAATCTGCGGCTTGCGCACGCCATCACGGCGTGCCACGGATTCCCATCTATCCTGATGTGCATCTGACATGTTCCCCCAATCTGGCAGCGACTTCACCTGCCCACTTGCACAACCAAAAACTGCCTCCATTCCGCCTTTTTAGCTGTTTCCCCCATCTCCCCCAAAGCCTCACCCTTCTCGGACGAACGCCCTTCACGGTGTCCACGCGAACTGCGTCCCGGCGATTGTCCACGGCGCCTGGAGGCAGCGGCGCCGGAACTCGAAGTTCACCACCTCCGTGTCAAAGGTCCCATCGCGCGCGAGCACCTGAAGGCACCGCTCCAGACAAGGAGCGCAGCGGTCGCAGCGGCGGTGAGGACGTTTCCCGTTTCCCGGCGGTCAGAAGGGGCGTTGGCATCGGTTCCCGGTCCAGAAATGGCTTGTGCAAGGGAGGAGGTGGTTCTTCTTGTTGTGCTGGTCTTGGTTGGAGAGAAGCGAGCAAAACCGGAAAAAAATGAACATCAAAAAGCAAAAAGAAAATGTCAGTTTGGGCAGGTACATTTTCGAACGGCAAAGTAAAACAATATCCGCGAGGCACCCTTGTGACTTGTGGTTGCCACTGAACATCCTTATCTTGTGCCCAGTGATTCTCTTTTTGTTGGGTAGCGATTACAGAGGACATGGGCAGCAGAAAAGACCAAATCATGCACACAAAAACTACCACACCAGCGAGATGTCGCCTTTCCATTTACGGCACACCTCTCTTTCCAACCACCTTTCTGGGCGGAAACGGACACGTTTTCCCTAAGGTCCCCTGGCATCTGCGGCGTGCTTCACTGCCCAACTGGGCGAGGCAGTCACCTTGGTGTCCACGTTAGAAACGGATTTGTTGTTTTCTTTGAGGCGTGCCAGTGGCCAGACCGGTATTCTAAGGAAGGTTGGGATTTAAGAAACTTTGTTCTTTGGGTCCCCAGTGCAGCAGGTTCGCTGCAAGCAGCATACTACATCTGTGACAAAATGGTTCCGTATTTATAGCTTTGCGTCTTTGGGATCAGGTCATGCAAATGGTAGTATCATGCAGTATCCATCGGGGCTTATCAAGCCATAAGCCTTGCTGGCCGATATCATCTCAACCAAGCCGCATGGAGCAACTTCCCCGCACTGCCCTGCGGCGATTTGGCCAAGCCGAGCCACATGAAGAAAGGAAGAAATTCCTAGACCTCCAAAATATACCCTCGAAAAGTACTTAAGGGTGAACTAAAAGTACTTAAGGGTGAACTCAGCCATTCCCTGCAAACAGTCATTCAGTGAAAACAATTGAAAACATACCCCTTTCACCCGGTGGACTCCCGATTCGGCTGAGGATCGTTTCGATCAGCCTCTCTCTGACCCGTCCCCAAACCTGAAGGGTCCGTCTTCAAAAGCGAGAGAGAGAGAGAGAGAGAAACAGTGAAGTGCAACGACCCTCATGACTTGTCCCAAAAGAGGAAACACCTGCAGCTCCCGCTTTAGGCGGGTTCGCTAGTCAGACTCTTCTTCTGGTCTTGGACTGCAAACCCACCTTTGAGGACCATTTCCGCATTTCCCCCCTCCATGCCTGGCTCAGGGCCGCCAATCCGCCGCAAAGCGCGCCCAAGCAGCCCCCCAAACAGCTGCCAGGCCCGCTGCTGGCGCTACCTCCCAGTGCCAGCTGTCCAGCACTATGGGAGTGAAAGACCATGAACAGAATTGTCATTGAGGCTCTTGGAGGTGACCCGAAGAGGAACTTCCTTTACTTCCATGGGTCAAAAATAGTCTTTCGACTTCTTGGGAGTAGATTCAACCAATGGCAGCGACCAATACTGCAATCTACTAAAGCAGCCTTTAAACAGTATCATGTCCGCTACGTTCATGCCGCGAGGGCATGCCCGGAGTCCACCCTACCTACCGATGACCAAGGCAAGCACAAGTGTGGCTTGCAAAAAGAACGATGCATATGATGGTTCATGGTCAACTCTCTCGCTTTCAACTGAGACACATCGATCAGCGCCAGAATCCCTATCCCTCAGCATCTTTGCTGGCCTTCCGACTCCAGGCCGTAGAGCTCCACGGTGCCTCGTTCCGCGTCCGTGGATAGATCCCAACTAAACTATTTGGGGATCACTCTGAAGTTAGAGGCTCCAAGGCTCACGGTCGGCAGTGGATGATGGCATGGCCCCGAAAGCGTTCAGATGCACCATGAAATCCGAAGACGGAGCCTCCCTGTCTGTAGCTGGGGTCTCAATGCGTTTCTCCAACCCAACTGAAAAGCGGCCTCCCACCTCAATCCCAGACACTCCATGGGACTGCCATATATGCCGATAGGCCAGGGGTGGTTGACTGCGGAGTCAATGGGGCGGCAGTCCGACATGGCAGTCCCATGGATCGTCGTGTCTGGGAATTGGTCCAACTTCCGACGTCCCTCTCGCTTTTCGCTCTCTTGATGGCCCGTTGCCGTCCCACACGCGCCGCTTGAAGGCGACGAGCCGGATGGTCGGAACCCCGGCATCCAGCGGGTTCCGCGGCGACCGCCGGGGCGACGAGGCAACAGGACTACCTACCTACCTACCTACCTACCTACCTACCTCCCTCTGCGAGTCTGTACTGTATATATGTCTGTCTCTGTCTCTGCCTCTGGCCCTGTCTGTCTGTCTCTCTGTTTGTCTCTGTCTCTCACAACCGGATACCCAATTGCATCAGAAAACGTTAATACCTCGGTCCATTGATTCAGAAGTCAGATCCTGTTGCAACATGATTCCGCACCCAGAACTGGTTCAATAAAGCAAGAAGGCCACCAAAACGGCCTCGAAAAATGGCCTCCACATCCCGAAACACTGGCGATCTTCTCCCAGCTGTTCAACGTGGATCTTCTCCCAGCACCACCCACTTCAAATGGTTTCAGGGGGGGGGCGGTGTAAACCACCCGAGATCCGTGTCATCCCTCCCAGGCCATTCATCCACCTCGCGGAACTCGTCGTCCACCCACCGCCCCTGGACGACAGCGCCAAGGCTCGACTCACTTCCCGCTGCGCTGGCGCGGCGCAGAAGTGGCCTGGCCACAGCGTCGGGGATCTGCGGTGGAGGCGCGGTTGAGGCGCGGTCAATTGTACCAGGACCCCCTAAGGATGTTTATTGATAGGCCCCAACACAGAGGTTAAGGCGTGGGACCCATGAACCACCCAAACAGAGGTGGGTCCTGGAGAAGGCCCCCAAGTAGATAGAAGTTCGTAGATTCCCACTGACTATGTCTTGGAGACTAAACCGTTTCTATCTTTTGGGCGATCACGCTTAAAGACATATCAAAACCATATCAAAACCATCTTCCCAAGCAGGCCAGGGACCTTCTCCCAAAAAAGTCTCAGTCTCATTGGAGGGGATTGGAGATCCAATGCCACAAAGCCTCGATCTCCGGTCGCTCTGCCTTCTGCCAACTGGCCGGACGGCGCCAACACCTTTCTCTCCCGTTCGCACCGTCCATCGTGAGAAACTCCGCATTTGGGTGAGTCTTTCAGGCGCACACCCCTGCCATCCAAAAGCCAAAGCCAACAGCATCAGAGCCATCCTAGTCTCGCCCAGGTCCCGTGAGCCCTGGATTTAGAGGACAGAAATGGCCCACCTGGCCCTGACGTCCCAAAAGCGATCCCATCCCCTGGTCACCGAGGGGGCGAGGAAACAAAGAAAAACATTCAACCCCCCTACTGACCTGAGGGACTCATCGTCTGAAACGTGTATGACACAGTCTGCTTTCTCGGTGATTGAAGAAATAATGGGCAAGTGGCACCACAACGGAGAATCCTGTCGTTCGCGGTCTGCTAGGCCAAAAAATATGACCCGGATCGTCCTACACCTTCCCCCACACGGATCGTCACAGTGCTCCCTCGGCTCTGTTGCTGTTCGCAACTTCTTCACCTCCCTTTGGGAGAGTTCTACTATGTTCTACTTGTCTCGCCAATTAAAAGTTCGCCTAAGAGGCCTGAACTCCTGGGTCGAACAAGCCCAAAAGTTGTGTTTTTTGGGTGTTTTTTTGTGTTTTTTTTTGCGTGAATCGTCCTATGGACCTGACGGGTATGCCGGATCTGGAGAGCCGGATCTGGAAACTGAGCTCCATCTAAAGGGTCCCAGACACTGGCAACGAAGAGATGTCCGTTGATTGTTGAGCCCGCACCCATTGGCATCTTGCGATCTGCGCGATCCACAATCACGACCATGAGTGCTTCTTCCTGGCTTCACTCCCACCGGTGGAACAGGTGTCCACAGCTGCAGGGAACCGAGCCGGCCACGAGCTACACTGGCGCCACGAGCTGCGGGGGGAGTTGCTTCTGCATTTATTGCATCGTTGACCCTGGTTTCAGTGATGCCATTCCAGTTGCAACCAGGTCTCCCATATGGAATAGCATAGTGGTTTCCTTGTCATGATTCACCATGCACAAATTGGGTTTCCTTCGGAGCCTTGGCGGTCCCCAGAACCTTTTGCTGGGACAGTCCAGTCGTTATGTCCAACAACGACCGTCGTTCGCCGAGCCACACCAGGACCGGTCCGCCCTGGGGTTTTGCTGGGCACCTCCATGCCCCGAGTCTATGTGCACATGAGAGAACACCCAAAATGCCAAGTGAAGTCGGCTGAGTGAATCAACTCCCCCCGATCCATCGCTTGGCCCGTTCGCGAATTACATCCATTTTAAGACGAAGCGGAAGCTGATGTAGATCGTTGAGACGATGGCCACGCCCAATCCTCAAGTGTGCTGAATGATTGGAGCTTCGTGTCGAAGTCATCGAAGACTTCCGATCGTCTGTAGGCCACTGGCGGGGGCCATGGGGTGTTTAATATCCATATAGTTTGGACACATATCATATCATATATAAGTATTCGGTATGCATGCATGGATCGTATGGATATATATATATACTGTATTATACTGTAACTGAGGGGTGATCAAGCTAGTGGTCATTCCAAGGAGTACACCGATGCATCCTGAGTTTCTCCGTGAACCGAACGTTCAGCACAACCGGATTCATCCAGCCAAACTCTTTGAGCTGACCAAGCACTCTCACTTCCAACGTTCACTTCCAACGCCCAAAACGAGGAGTGTTGGGCCGGGACCGCTCATCTTCAGGGACCTGCTGTCCATGCTGGTCTCCGGCCAGCGAGCTTTCGTCCACCCGTGTTTCCGCAGCACGACGGGCTGCTAATTGAGGCGTCGTCCTCCGGTGAAACAGCCACATCTGCACTCCAAGGAGCCCCAGAACAGCGAATAGCCGCGCTTGACTTCCATCGGGCCCAGTCCTGTGCTTCGGTGCTCATGGCCGAGAAAGGCCCGGACTTTGGTCCTAGCTCGATGCTCATGACAGGGCGCTCTCTCTCTCTCTCTCTCTCTCTCACTCTCAGAAGTTGGACAGGTTCTAGGATGTTCCCGCGCACCACAGATCGGTCCAAGAACCCACCGCCCGCCTGAGAGCGAACCGTCCGCTCTGAAGTCACGTGGGGCGGAGTCGAAACCCGGAACGTCCTCTGAGGAACCAGAAAATCCACGTCACCAGGTGATGCGGATCAGATTTTGCGATGTTCTGATTTTCCCAGACGCGACCCGGGAAGCTCCGTTCAGTGGGGGTCGGACCCTCATATGGAGGGGTCTGCACCCTCAAAACCCTATGGTTTTGAGGGAACCCAGAGCAGTTTGGAGCGTCTGGGCTTCTAAAAAAACAAAGAGAGCACGCCCAAACGCACGCCTGGCACGACTGGCTGGTTCATGGTGTTGACAAAGTTCATGCCATACATCGACGACAAGAGCTGCCTCGGCGCGTCGGCGCATCGTCCATTGTGGTGGGTCGAGGCCCCGGTCACCGCTTGAGGATCAGCCAGGCGTCCTCCTACCAGTCCGGTCCTAGGTCTGGGTGCGTGAAGACGGGGCTGGGGACCTTCTTGGGGACCTCCCCAAAACGGGTTCGGCCTTCTCGATCGCTCACCCCGCCAAACCGGGCCCAGGTACATGGGAGAGGTCATGGTCGTGACCAGCGCCAATGCGTAGAGCACCTCCAGCGACACCGGTGGCATCGGTGCAACCCGCGGCATCTGGGGCATGTAGCAAGAACCCCCCCAGAAACGAACCTAAAATGGATGAGCAAAAGGAAGGACCCAACAGTCACAAGACGGGGTGCGATCCATGGAGGTTAGGGGTGCCCATGATCAACTCCCTTAGGGACTAAACACCACCCCTTTGTGACTCCTGGACTGGACATTCCTTCGCTCCATGGCTTTCCCATCAACCAGTTCTTCTGAGTTAGGAGATGTGTTCCAGGACCTTCTCAGTGACCTCTTCAGGATTGGTAAGTGACCTTTTCAAGGCCTGTTCGTGACCTCACTCTGGGATCTCTGGGAAGGTCACTGGGAAGGTCCTGGTTGACATGCGTTGTTTTAGGTTGTTTTGGCACCATCGATGGATGAGGTTCTCCCTAACCAGGAGACGCCGCAGAAAAGAGATCATCCTCAGTTCTCATGATGAGCTCATGTGCAGTGTTTTCAGAGTACATGGCTGTGGTCAACCTCAACCATCATGTGACTCACGTCTGTCGTTCGCCTCACCCCAAAACCGTGCTCTCTTGTGATCACAGCCTCCCGCTGGGGAATCGCCATGCGCATGACACGAAAACAAGACCAGTCGCCGTGGTCCAAAAAACTGGTGCAATATATTTGGAGGCCAATTTCCAACTCCTTTAGAACCATTCCACCCTGCCATCCATAGCTAGAGACCACCCCTCCACCACAGCCGCTGCCCGCACAGCTGCCCGCACAGCCGCCCGATGATCCGGCACCCCTTGCTGATCGCGATCCCGCAGGCTTCGCACTTGGTCTCGCAGCGAGTCGCAGACCTCGGACGCCACCGTTCGGCGCGGGACGCGCCAAAGCGGTGGAAGACGACGGAGGTCCGAGCATGCCTTGACTTGGTATGGAAAGCACCACGGAGTCCGAGCAACGCCTGTGGGGGCTGCATGTAGCTGCAGCTTGTCTGGGTTCCGGACCCCAATGCTGCGACTGATCTCTTCTAAATAGGTTCCCAAATGGTCCTCCACGTCCTCCAGGTATTGCGTCACCTGGATCGCTTCAGAACATCAAACGTCGATGCCCACCCGTCCCAAGCTGCGCTTGGCTGGAATCCTCCAGGCCCGAGGAAGAAAGAAAAGCTTTCGAAACCAACGGCCCAAGGCACATCCGCTTCGATGCTTTTCTCGTGGATCATGTGTCGGACCACCTGAGCTGGGCCAGAGAACGAACGGGTCCAAGGCTGCCTCAAAACGGGTCCAGGGCTACACTCTGCACCAACATGGACATGGAAAACCGCCTGTTTTTGTAGAGGAAACATGGTCTTCACAGGGGCCCAAGCCGTCCACTTCCACCATGTGGATGTGTTCGTCAGAGTGTCAAGACCACGGCTCCAAGGACGGAAGTCCGAGCCGGTGCTTCTCAACAGCTTCACTGTCTCCCACCGGTGGAGTTGGAGTGGGGAAGTCAATCTCCAGGTCTCAAAGGTCTCAAAGATGATCCAGTTATCCCCGGACCACTCCCTGGTCGCAGGTTACCAGGTTGACTACTAGAACGCGTTCTACTAAAAGAACACGTTCAGCACCTTCGCTTCGCAGTGTCAGGCGCCACGAGTTCCTCACAACTACGGAGCAGCCGTTGCCGCAGTTGCCGCCAGGCTGCTCGGATCATGGGCCGCACCTGCCGTTCGGCGCAGGGTTCAGCGACCGGCGCGGGGCCAACAACACGCCTGGACGCAACCAAAAACATGTTTGAGACCGCCAAAGCGGGCGGTTCACCAAGGAAATTCCATGAACATGCCTCTGACAGGTCCTGGATATGAAAGAGATATGTACTAGATATTGGATACCATTGACATCAGGACTGATTGGAAGGAGCACGCTTTCCTTTGCCTGGTGCATATTATATATATTATGTGGTGATATAGTATGTGAATGTTAAATATTACCTACATATATACATATATATATTTATATATGTTCTAAAGAAATAATATAGACATATATATATATATGTGTGTGTTACAATATAATACACACACGTCGGACATACTCGGCATATTCTTCCAGGCCCCACCCCCGGCACCGGTCGCGCCTTGCGCTGCACCCATTCCAACTCCACACGCGTCCACAGCAGCTTCTTCTCCTCGGTCGGTGGGGAGCAATCGAGTGCGACAGCGGAGGCGTCCGTTGAAACCCCAAATGAGGTTGCCCGCCACGGGGGTCGACAGCATGTGGCGAATGGTCACCCGCAGCCCGAAATTTGCCGAACGCCAATGGGTGTTGGGTCCTCCCTTCTGGATCCTTCTGGCTCTTGTCAGGGGTAGAACTGGGGGGTAGTTCTATTCTACGGCTCTGGTAAGGTAAACACACTTGGAGCGAATTTCACAACAGAGAAAACTTGGTCATACAGCAAGGTGGTTTGAAAGCCTCCAAGGATCAAAACAACACATGTTACAACATGTTAGTTGGCCAGTTGCGGACGATATGTGTGTTTGGTCTCTCCTGAAATGAGCATGAACACCAAGGCTACCTGGAAAAAGAACCGGGGCGGTCCCTAAGCATTCCTTTCACATCATATGGTCTGATGGGTTTGGGACAGAAGCTTGTACTGGTGTGATGTACACATGCCGCAACTATATCTGTACCATTCATTTCTGCTCTTGAGTCTTGCAAAATCGGATTTGCATGGCCGCATGAAGAGGCACCAGAGACCCAACTGTCGGCTTAGTTTTGGGGGTCCAATTGGGTCGACGCTTCTCCCGAACCCGTTCTTCAAAGCACCAAATCATGGACCAAGGTGACCAACAATATGAACAGTAACAAGGAGGCTATGTTCGGTGGAGGCCATCGCTATTAGGTTGGAGGTCATAGCTACTAGTGAAGCTACTAGGGAGAAGCCGTGTTAATCCGCTCATCGGGTCATCTTCATCCTCACGTTCCCAAGCGGCCACATCGTTGTCGGCCTTCGATCGGCGCTTGGCGATGTGTGCCGCAAACCTGGGACGTTCGCCCGGCCACAAGTCGGTACAGTACCGCGGTCGTCATGTTCTGTTGGAGAATCATAGCCCAGACACTCCATGTATGCCATATATGCCTACATTGACCCCCAAACCCACCCAAATGTAGGCATATATGGCATACATGGAGTGTCTGGGTAGGGGTCAGTTTGGTGTCATACACCTTATTGGTTGCTACCCCCTCTGTGGTTCCAGCAGGGGTTGCGCAAGGAACGAGAGTGTAGCAACAAGAATCTTCCGTCGCTTCGTCTGGTTTGGCATTGGTAGCGACATTGATTTGGAGGTGTGGAGAAGTAGATGATCGGTATCTTGCTGCCTACCCCTCCGAAATCCAAAAGCAAGGTTCAGGATCCATCCAACAAGGACCATGGAGAAAGGACAGGCAGTCTCTGTCCAAAGCTATAGGGCAGCAAACATACAAACAAACTAAATCACAGCATGGACATGGAGTCTTGCTTATCCCTCAGCAACTTCGTGGTGGCAATCCTTTCCCATGGAAGTCCTTCACGTCCACCAAACACCTCGTGTTGGTCGTAGCCACCCCCGCCTTCAAGGAATCAAAGTCCTCTCTGCTTAACCACGGAACCCACCAAACACCCCACCGCCAACCCGACAGGATCCACCCCACCGACGCCCAGGCGCCATACTGACCCGTGCGCCATACGTGCTTCTTCCCGCCAGGCGGCCACTGGAGACGAGCGCGGAAGGCTGACAGGATGGGTTCCATCTCATCCACCTGCCGAGTGCTTCTCGCAGCGCCGGACGAGCAGAAGCACAGCGCCGGACGCAGCCGGAGCTCAGACGAGGCGGGTCGGGCGGGTCGGGCGCTGGTCCGGGGGCGAAGCGAGGTGCGGCGGTGTGGTTTTGGGAGGCGGTTTTGGCCAACACACTGCGGGGTGCTTTTTTGGTGGGTGGAGACGCGCCAATGCAGGTCTTACTGAAGATGGCGCACTCAAAATCCACCATTGTACCAGGTGTGTAGAGGTGGACACGAGCACGACTTTACATGCACCTACTCTCGGAGTCATTACCAGGGGCCCGAACCAAACCATGCAAAAACAACGGTGTTCACATACAAGGACCATGTTTGTTGCTAGGGAAAACCTTGTTTTTGATGGTTTGTGGGGCCCCTGGTAACATGTAAGTGGAAAAAACTAGCCCTTACCCACACTACTTCCAAACCCTTCAGATCGGCCAGGCTCTTCTCTCAAGAACAGGGACAGCGGCCGTTCCCCCCTGTTCCGTTTCCCATTGTTTCCTGCCAACCGAGCTGCAATCACATCGACGACGCGCCACATGAGCCAGGCTGCGTTGCCCGAGCGGAGCATAGAGCTGTCCTGCCGGATCCAGGGCATCCACAACGGGCCTTTTACAGGTGGGCGGGGAAGGCGGAGCCCTAAACCTGAGTTTCAGAGGGGAAGGTGAGCGTCATGGTGACATGATATCCTGAAGCTTCCTCCAGATTCTTTATACCACACCGGCCCTTCTGGGGAACTGTCCCGAGGTTTTCCGCGCGGTGGCTCCCAGGAATGCTCCGCACCTTCTGGATCTCCTCCACGATGCCGTCGAAGGCCTCGGTGGCGTCATCGTCGAAGGGCACCGCGTCGGAGCCCTCCGCGTCCTGCGATAGCAACAAGGTAATCAATCAATGAAACTTATACCAGCACATTCCAACAGGTCTCCTTGGAGGGTTTTATTTGCAGACTTAAAAGTCGCGGGGGGGACCATCAATCAATCAATCAATCAATCAATCAATCAAAATAATGAAAGTAAATTAAATTAAAGTAAATCAAAATAAAAACAAAACCAATCAAATCAATCAATCAACAAGGCAATGAATCAATTTTGTCTAGTGTGTATATATATATATATTGAACATATTGTGTCCCATTATGGACTAGTAACAGTGGATGATGATGGTTAGTATAAAGGCCTTTCTCTAAAATTGTGATAATTGTTTACCGACTGTTGCAGGGAATAGGGCAGACCTCAAGTAGAGTAGCTTCTCCCGCACAGGAGAAGAGCAATAATCCTTGCTCTACCCCAACACTCATTGTTGGAGGTCAAATGTCCAATTGCCTAAACCCTAAATACATCTATATAAATACTAAAACCAGATTCCCCAAACATCCCAAAACCAGTCAATTCACCCGTTCAATGTCTTGGACCATGCAGACCCTATCCGTTGATGTCGAGAACCTCGGCCCCTCGCCCCTCACCACCAGTTTGAGCGACATGACCTGTCCTCGAAGTCGATGTCGGCGCTCATGCTGGGCGTCCTAGCGAGTCGAAGGTCGAAGACGGCGGGCGCGCGCGCCCGGACAGCTCACGGCCCGACGCCCTCGCTCGGAAGGAGCAGGCAGTTCATCGGGCGGAATCGCTTGTGCCGTTGCGCTCTTTTCGTGTTGGACATCACGAAAAGAGCGTTCTGGACCCATACGTCTATATGCCAGTCAATGCCCTAAACCCTCAGGCCTACAGTGTCGGTGCGGTTCGCTGTGAAGAAATCGGTGCGATCGCGTTTTGATGAGGGACACACGCCTCGCAGGCGCAAAGAAAACGAGGAGAGGCCTGTTGGAGAATGGACGTGGAGGTTCGCTCACGAAGCCCTGTTCTTCCTTCTGATCTCCCCTGTGAGTAGGGCCTTGGTGAGGAGGCGGAATCCGCACGGCTGCGGCAGCTCGCCGAGCCGTCGCGAATGAGCCTCGAGCGGGCGAGTGTCGCGGGCGCTGCTCGGTCTGGCTCGGTCTGGCCCGGTCTAGCTCGGCGGGGCGTGGACCTTCGATTCACCGGTCGATCCATGGTTTCCACATGTTTCTAGCACATTTTGCCCAAGCGCGTCCGACTATGGCCCTTGATCCAATGGAAACTCCCAGGGCGGGTCAGGCTGGGCCGTCCGCTCCCGCGAAGCCGCAGGACAACCGAGCGCTTCAGCGCTGTGGACCGGGCTTCGGCTGGAGTTGGTATTGGTCCCTTGATGGGGTTGAGAGGCGGCCCGCACGAGCCGATCAGGTCGACTCGTGATTCATGAGTTTTAGATGTTTAAAAGAATTCTATATTTTAGGATGGCACCACCTCTTCATAGGAGCGCATCACGAATCAAGAGTCCACATCGATTCCTTGAGCCACCTGCCATGAGGCCGTTGATCCCTTCCGGCTCAACAGCGCCAGACGTCGCCAGCTTCGGCCCAGCGGCGCACGGGAGCTCCGGAAGTTGAAGTTGGCCCGCCGGCGCCGGCAGAACCTGGCCCCGTCCGAAGGCACCTGGGATCCCCCGATGCGGGAGAGCCATCGGCTTAATGGTCGTCCCCACGACCTCCAGCGTCATGTTCAAAGCCGCTGGAAAAGAGGTGTCCGGCAACATCCAGTAGCGACCCCATGGGGGTCCTGGCCAAAAGGAGTCTTACCAAATGTTCCACCTTTATAGAACCCATGAGCTGACCGCACTTGCCTGCGAGCGCCGGCCACGGGCAAGGCTTGATGCCCGTGCTCCACGTCCTCGCTCTTGTGCACCACCCAGTTCGTCTGGAAGCTGATCCTTGCCGCCAAATCTGGACCCAGTTGTTGAAGCTGGGGAAAGCTCACGCCATCTAGAAGACCCACACACTCTTTACATCTCTTTACCGATCAACCCCTGAGGCCCTTGCGTTTGAGGTCTGGGATTTGCTGAGTTGAGCCCTTTGCACCGTTTTTGTTGGGCCTCCGCGTTTCAGAAACACAGAGGATCCCCCTGCCAGCTGGGTCTACCAGATGTGCAGCCTCCACCCTCACCTCACCCGGATCACCCTTCACCTCGGCTCCGAACGGAACCGAGGTCACGCCCGACCCGAACGGAGACCCGGCGAGGCTCAAAGTATCGAACTTCGGGGCACCGGCCACGAAGAGCGCCAGGCGCCCCTGACGGGGGGTCGACTGGAGAGGAACGGAGAGGAACGGAGAGGAGATAAGTCGAAGACGACTGAGGTTCTGGTCTTTTTGGGGGGTGCTGAATTTGACCAGAAAAGGGAAATGAAAAAAAGGAGAAGGAATTGAAAAGGAAAGGATGAACTATAAGCAGAAGGCAAAAGGATGCAGATTTCTCAAGAATTTGGCCCAATGAACCCCTCAGCAGAAAAGTGCGTGTTAGACTGGTCTGGCATCTGGCCCGGCTTTGGCTTCAAAAGATACAGGGACCTCCCCGAACGCAACCAAGCTACAAGTAGAACCTTTCTGGTATGCCACGCACGAGCCAATGAGCCAAAAGGCACCAAAAGCAAGCCACGAAAGCCAGAAGCCAAAAGCCACTAAGAAAGCCAATTCCCCAAGTTTGGACATCAGAAAGTGGCTTTGCGACCTTCGAAATCGTTCTTTTCTCCACCCGATGGTCATCCACCAATACTCCTTGCCTGCTCGATCTCTACCTCGAAAGCGGTCCCGGAATCCTCAGGAATTCGCATGGCGCTCCCGAACAAGTCTGACCACCAATACTCTTTAGCTGTGAAGAATGCACGGTTGCCAAGTCTGAATCATCCTGAGTTACAAAAGGTTGTGGATGGAAAATGTGCAAACAATTCCCCTTCTTACTCCTTGCTCTACGTACCCACTCCGGCCCGAGCACTCACGCAACCCCCAAACCCATAAAAGACCCGAGCCAGGATCCAATTGTGCACACGACTTTTACACGGAGGAGACCGATAAATATGCATTATATATATATATACAGCACGTATTCCGAAGTGCCATCAATGTTGCAACACTTTTCGCGCACCCTGGGTGCGGCCAAAGATTCAGGATCCAACAACTCGTCCTGGTTGGTGGTCTGCCTTGGACATACATTGCTTGGCTGGAAGCCCTCCCTCTCGCCTGAGAAAGGCCTTTCCATCCGCAGCCGACAGAAAGAAGCTATTCACCACTGGCTTCTAGGAGAACCGTTCATCCAAACTGCATGCATGCCCGATGTCCATCTTCAATTCCGACCTGCCAACTTCAGCCACGCGTGTTACTTGTCCAAGACCCTTTTCCATGGTCTTAGACCCAACGAGAGGGACCCTTTTCCCGCCTGGCCAGTTCGGGTTGCCCCTCCACCTGCCCGTGAAAGGCCGCCAGCGCATTCCGCGAAGGCCTCGGTGGCTTCGCCCCGTCCACGTGGTGCCGAAGTCTCAGTCGGATCTTCATTCTCAGCCAGCACCACGGATTCCGGGTGTAACCACCCCAACTGGGGGTCCTGGTGGAGGTGTTCACAGACTTTCCGAAAACGAATGTCACGACTTTGGTTCGACACCGGAGATGGAAAGGACACAGTAAAATGGTCTAGTCTACGATCAGAGATTTCGCGGTCTTCGCCCATCTGGTTCTCGTCCGGTGACCTTCTTTGGCTTGGCCAACCTTCCGCCCAGCTTGGCCCAGGCACGTGGTGAGCCTGAGCATTGGAAGGATGATGAAGAAGTTGTCTCCATATCTTCGCACCAAGGGAACCGACTGCTGCTGCAACCTCAGGGTCGCTGGCTGGAACACATCGAAGACTTGCTCTCAGTCGTCGGCGGAACTAGGGGAGACACGTCCCCCTGGGAGGAAAACGGTCACCGCCGTTGTCAAGGTCGACCACGGAACAAGACGTCGTGAAGTATCGGTATAAGTCCTTACCAGGCTGACCTCGTGTCAGGGGTAGGACCAGACAGGTCATGACCAAACCACGGCCGAACTCGCTCATCCCGGTCCCGCCTCAGTCTGGCGTCCGGAGTTTCAAGCCTGGGCCTGAACCTGAAGAACCGATCACCTCAAGCATGGAAAAAACCAAGTATATAATGATATGTATATTGATTACTTAACCAGCATGGCAGTCCCAACATGGCGTCTTCCCACGCCAAGCGGCTGGATGGTGTCTTCCACCGGGAGTGGATGAAGCTGGTACTTCACCGCCAGACGTAAGATCGTCACCTACCAAAGCACGATCAGAGAGGGAGCGTGCACGTGCATCAGCTATGGCGCCCCGCGAGCATCAGCTTGGCTCAGCTCGGGGAGAAAAGAAAATGCAAATCCTTGACTCCAACCAGACCACCCATGCCAGTCCATACCACAGAATGACTGCTAGGTCCCTGATTCAGTGGCATTTCCAAAACCTCCTCCCGCATGCTATTGGCCGAAAAGCCTTCCCATTCAAGCACAGGGACCCAGAGAAAGCGCGAGTTGTGTGAAGTAGCCTTCCTTTGAATTAGATTTGCAGAACATGGCCTGCTGCCTGCTTCATTCAGAGGCAACCTCTCCAGAACTCTCCACTCCACCCCTTCAGCCTTGCTGACGGCACTGCAATGCACCCAGCGCATCTTCATGCCACCCAGGCGGTGTCCCAGGAAGATCCGTGACTGGTCCACCTTGGTGAAGTACTGCTCACAGACCACCCTGGCCAGCACAAGCCCGCCATCGAGGCGGACCGGCCATGCAGCCGTGCGGTCGGGGCCCCAGGCCTACACCGGCAAGCCTTTTTGGAGTGGGAGGCGTTTGGTCCAAAGGTCCATGACCCCGGCCGTGGGTTGTTCCCGACACCTGACCCGCCCCAACCTCGGGCTGAGCCCCTTCTGGGAGGGGTTGCGACCCCCGAGGACGAGCCCGCGAGGCCGGTCGTCCTCGTTCTCCGCGCCTTTGGTTCCAGTCCTCGGTCGGCACGGCCGCCAAGGTTGGACCAACGAGTCCAGACAGGGCGACCTTTCAAAGGAGGGGAGGGAAGTGTCATTTCCGTGGCCTTGAAAAAGAAGCCTCCGTGTTCGCGGGTTCCTATTTTCGTGTTTTTATGTGTCTTCTATTTGCTAGTCCTTTGTGTCCTTTGTTGTCCTTCCTTAGATGTACTTTCAATTTCGCGTCTTTCTGGTTTGAACCTTTCCGACCCGTAGTTTCTTGCCTTAACCCGGCCTTTCTTTTGCTTCGATTTCTTTTTCCTAGTGGTAGCAGTGTTAACCTTACTTTCCTGCTTCTCGCGGTTCCTCACTGAATATTATGTGCTTCTATTCTAGACACTTTTTGTTGCTTTCGTGTTGAAATCTAAAGTTTCGCATTCCAGGGATTTGTAACCAAGGCTTAGCCACTGCATAGATTTTTCCGGAAGCGGGACACGCCTGGTTTTGGACCTCTCATATTGCCGTTAAAAGGTCCACTACGCCAGTGAAGTGACGCCTTCCCCGGAGCATTGACATTCCGCGCGTGGGCCTTACATAAACTTAGAGGTTCCATTGTTGACGGCGCCTCCTTTTTTGTAGCGGCACCTTTCGATAGCAGCCTCGGGCCTCACATTGGAGAGGTCCCCTTACTGCTTGGGTCAGGCTTGAGATATCAGGGCGTTGCCCCTCGAGATGAGAAGAAGTAGATGGAACCAAGAAGTAGATGGAACCATCCCAAAGGTCGGTGGTTTCTATGGACCCTCATAGAACAAATAAAAAGGGCGTCCGAAACCACCTTGTCATTCTCTCAAACCACCAAACCACTGCGGCCTGACACGTCTTGACGCTTGGCCCTACCAGACCCCTGTAATTCATCGAAACGACTCAAACGCCCAGCTAGGAAGCGACTCCAAACGCGCTTCCGAATGATCGACGACGAAGCGACTCGCCACTCGCGATGAGTGGGTCCGGGGGTCCCCACCCGTGACGCCCCATCTCCACCCTTTCCCAGTCCCAAGTCGCCACCACTCCGAAGAAGCCCCGCTCCTCCACGAAGTCGTCCTCGCCGCTGCAGAGCAGGTGCAACTTCAGCTGCCGCAACACCCTGGCGTGCCCGCGCGCGCGGTGTAGCGCCGGCAGGTCGAGTCGAAGGTCGGGTCGACGAGGAGACGCAGGGCGGGTCGGGGTGCACCAAGCAGCATCAAAACCTTCAGCGATTAAGACACCCACCCGAACAAATGTACAGTAACGACCACATGGCAGGAACGTTCTGCCTGTGGGGGGGGCGGCGCTTCAAAAGACGGGTCGTTGGTGCAGAAGCTCAGGGGGACAGGAAGCTCGCGGGCATGGGTCATGGGTCAGGCCACCCTGATGGAAGTTCTGAAGGACGTTCGGCTTTGGTGCCCTCAAAGGTTTTTTGGAGCACATGTGAATGGTCCTTCGCAGTACTGAGCTCTCCTCGCCAGTTTGGCACTTGCGGAATGACATGACAGCGATGAGCTGAACCAGTTTTTGAGCCATGGATGGGGGCCATGGAGACCGCAGGCCCTTGGAGATCGCCCGCCCTTGAGACGCTGGGCGTGGCCGAAGATCGCGCAAGTCACCGACGTGGCCCCCGCCTGTGGAAACTATGTACATCGATGGTCTCTTGTCCAAGAGACTTCCTCAGAAAGCCGACCGGTCGGCGAGCCGAGTGGTCCGAAGTGCCGTCTGGAACGTGCCTACTCTCGCTTTTCGTAGGGGGGGATGCGTATGTTGAATATTGGAGCAGTCGTTGGATGCATCCATCGGCCTGTACTCCGTGTCCTTGCCTGTTGGTGTCGTTTTTTGTTTTCTCTATCTATCTATCTATCTATCTATCTAATCTAATCTAATCTAATCTAATCTAATCTAATCTAATCTAATCTAATCTAATCTAATCTAATCTAATCTAATCTAATCTAATCCTATCTATCTATCTATCTATCTATCTATTCTGTCTTATGCTTACTTCCAATGCACTTGCCCCATGGACAGCTTGTTTAAGAAGAAAACACCGTAGAATGAACTCATCAAGGGTACTTAATCGATCCTGGTGTCAGGATCTGAGCAGACCACAAGGAAAAAGAAATTCCCTCACACCATCTCCAACTCCTAAGCTCACGGCCACAGCGTTTGGAAGAGCGGCTCTCGGTCCAGGCCCTTGAAACCTCCAGCGACGAAACTGTGCGGTCATGCAGGTCACTCGGCTTTCCTCCACCCCATGAATGTACACCACAAAAATGCATCAACATGGCAGCCATCACCGAGCAGGCGTGTTTACCCATGATAGTCGTGTAGTTTCGACCCAGCACAAGTAACAGGAAGCACCCTGCTGTTCTCAGGCCGTGGTTAGCACACAATAGTTCACCAAAATAAGGAACAAGACCAACATTCGGTCCAACAAAGGCTTCCAGGAGTCCATGGGTCCATGGGTCCATGATCCGAAAGAGATTCAGAGACTGCATCGATTCATTCCCACCTGAGTCTCAATGTCATCCTTCCTTTCTCTCTGTCTTTCGCACCCGGCCGGCTACTCCATGGCTCCTGGCGACCCGGGCCTTCCGACTCGAGGGCATTCTTCAAGGCCAGCACATCCATGCCAGCATCTGGGCGACTGACACCCGACAGGAGCCCAGAAGGAGCCCAGGAGGCGGGTGCCAGAGGCGAAACGGAAGAGGCGAGGAGCCTTGAAGGGGCGGACTGGGAGGACAAACGGAAGAACCTCGGAGTCCGAAAAAGAGTTTCAACGGTTAGCTTGATCAACCTAGGCATCGCGTGTTCAATCACCCAGGCAAGTGCAAACTGGACATGAAAACCAAAAACACAAATATATATAGAGAGAGAGAGAGAGAAAAAATTATAGAAATATATATATAGAAAATTATAGTAATAATTTCCAGGAGTCACAAAGGGGTGGTGTCTAGTCCCCAAGTGAGTGGATGTTTTGGGCACCCCTAACCTCCATTAAGCACCCCGTCGAACGTGACTGCAGGTATGGAGATGTGGAAGCGATTCTGAAGACGGGAGGGGTTATTGATCAACGGCCGACAAGAAAGGAGAGTTGAAGGCCTTCACCATTCCCAAAGCCCTATAAGAGCATCATGCAAGAACAACATGGGCGTTCGTCCAGATCCGCCCTGGGGTTCTTTCTGGGTGGTGCACGACCCTTCAAACTCTGACGACACAGAAGGAGAAGCGTGCATTCTTTCACCCATATCCCTCATCAACCTCTTCAGCTCCCACATGACCTGCAGGTGCGTCGAACTCATTTGGGAACTCGACAGGGCGAGACTGGAACTTCCTTCCACCAACCCAGCAACCCTTTGGTAGACCACCTTCATTCCTCATCCAACACTCCTAGAAATAAATAGAACATGTTTTTTTTCAATAGTACTATATATATCTATTTGTGTATATATATATGCATACATAATTACACCAGTAAAACCCGCATTCCCATCTCCCCAATTCCAGTCAGATTCTCGTAGTCTCTCCCATTCTCGGTCCCCAACCCCCCTGGTACCGCGCTGAGGGGCTCAGCTCGTCCGCCTTCTTGGCGAGGCTCATCTCCAAGCTCGGGGCTCGGAAGGGCTTACAGGGCCGCCCCGGCGACTTGGGCGTCTCCTGGCGCTCCCCCAAGGCAAGGCCTCGGCCCCAGGTCACGCGCCCGTGGGCTTTGGGGCATGCTGTGGACGTCCGTGGCTCAGAACATGGATTGTAGACCCTCGGTACTTCACACATCTTCACACCACACGCCTTCGGCTCCTCATTTCAAGTGGACTGAAGCCCAGAGCTACCCGTTTTTTTGGACCACCTTTAGTCCAGGTAGCTGCTGCAAGCAACTGCTCTTCCTCGGTTGGAGGTTGGGTAGGCAATTATTGTGGAGCGGATCTCAACTGTAGTGAACGCCTGTTAAACACCTTGTAAATGATCGGGCACTCCGTTCTTACGCCGTACTTCCATCGATCCAGGTGATTCAGTATGATTCAGTGATTCTTGCATCGACCGACCGCCACAATCATGTAACTCCAATGGCGGTCCGCCCTTCGACTTCCCCACGTCCACCGTGGCCACCGGCCACCTCCGCCGCTCGCGTCCCAAGGCTCCCTCATCTTCGGTGCACGCCTCGTAGAGACGCCTTCAGCTCAGGGCGAGCAGACGGGCTCCAGCCATATGGCGTGGGGCTACAAGCTCAAGCACTCAGAAGGCATCCCATCTTCCACATGGGCAATGGCTTTTCTACTAAGGGAAGACGGACAGAAGCTCTTCCCCCAGCTCTCGCCCCCTTCGCACCCAAATCACGGACACCAGCTGCAAAACACCAAGCACTCATTACAAAAAGCTCTCAACTAGAAGAGACCCTCCCCCTCAACCCCGCCCTCCCACCGGTCCGGGCCGGGTCAGCCGGCAGGGCGCCCCGCCCCGCCCCGGCCCCGGACATACCGCTGGGAGGCGAGGTTCAATGCATGCTCCAGGGTCACATCAAAGAGCGCATGGCTCTCGGGTCCCTGCAGCTCGTCGATCAGCCGACCCCCACCTAGCGGCGATGGATGCGCGGAAAACGGTCGATCCCAAGGGGTGGGCCACAAAGGGAATTCACGTAAATCGCTTCAGAACCGTAAATGGCATCGAAGACATGTTCCTCTAACTTTCGTGAGCTGAGCTGAGCTCCTTCCCCCTCCCACTCATCGTCAAGCGGCAAGAGAGCGCGATCTTCTTCAGAACCTGCGAGAATGGAGCGACAAGGGGCGCGCAAGGTGCAGGGCTCCGGATTGATGCACCCCTCCACCTGTCAGGTGGAGTCCTGACTTAGTGAAATCTGGTCCTTGACCTCATTGAGTTGTGGATTTTTGGTATGACCCGCACCAGTCAAATGAGGCCTGCGACCTGTAGAGCACTGCAGAGGTCCATGACTTGACAAGTTCCACAACTGCAACGACTCGCTCCGTGACAACATCTCCGCTCGACTCGCCCCACACCTCACTAGAGGTGCCATCCGCCGCCACCTTGCTTCGACCGACAGTGGAACGAGAGACCCTCTACGGACAACGCCTCGTTGGGGGTACTTTGCCAGCACCAGCAGCCTCGGGTTCCAAGTCTTAGGTCTTGTAAACCATTGGACCATCCCCCCTAGCATGTCTACCCACCAATTTCTGGGTGTGCTGCTCAAATTAAGAAGAAGAACAACAACAATAACAATAGTAATACTAGCAAGCAATACTAACAACAATAGGGGAAGAAGCCTCCTCCTCCTCCTCCGCCTCCTCCTCCTCCTCACCATCATCATCATCATCATCAGCATCAGCATCAGCATCAGCATCAGCATCTTCTTCTTCTTCTTCTTCTTCTTCTTCGGATTGAGCTCGCATGAGTGGCCACATCACAGTCCGGCCAACCACATCCACATCCGGAGAGTTTCTTCGAAACGAGTCCTCGCCCAAGTTTGGGCTCACAGCACCCCCCCCCAAGCTCTCTACATGCTCGGGCGGAGCACCAGGCGTCATGATGTCTTGTCTGATGGCCTTTTGGGATCATGTGGACCTCTGGCATGTGCCACAAGCTTGGGAGGTTCCTACACCGTTTGGGACCCTCGGCACCGAGCCATTCAGAATCTGCAGCCCCATCACAGCCATTCGCCTTGTTCATGCGCGCTTGCTCAAAGGGGAATGGACCTTTCACAAGTCATGTTAAAAACCATCACCCGACAAGGACTGCATCTGCGCAGATTCTGCGCAGATTCTGCGCATCACAAAGTCAAGCTGCAGGAGGCGGCGCCCGTGAGGCCTGCACTGTTGTCTTTTGGAAGCATTCTAAATCGATTGGATCAATTGATTGGTTGGTTTCGTTGACGGACCTCCACCAGACCGTCGCTACCACAAGGATGAAAGTCAGACCAAAATCTAATCAAAAGTCATGCTTGGAGAATGTGCCTTGCGTGCTGATTCAGCAGGTCCAGGGTCAAAACCTGGCCTGCACCTGCAACCTCAATGAACACCTCAAGCTGGTGCTTTCATAGAAAACAGAATCCCAGCCGACCATATGGGACTCCAAGTCACTTGCTTCTGAATTTCCGTCACTTCGATCGGCCACGCACCAACCGGAGCTGCTGCTTTGGCCTCTCGAGGCGGAGGACCTCCCCGCCTGGTCAAGGAAGCCCGGGGAGGTGTCGGGGGAGAGGAGCGGCTCATCCAAACGTCCACGGACATCCATCACCTAGGCGGAGGCCCAGGCGAGTCGGGAGGCCCAGCAGGCGTGGGTGGCCAGCACCGACTCAGTCGACCTGTGGGTTTTTCAAGCGCCAAAGGATCCGAAGAAGGGTTCAGCCGCTCTTGAGAACGCCTTCGCGCGGGTCTGAGGAAAACCTTCTGTTCATTTCTCTAGATGTATGCCCACTGAAACTAACATAGACCCTGAAAACCAACGGTTTGTAGAGAGGTGCCTCTCTCTCAGGCTTTCGGGAGGTGCAAGGGGTCTCCCACTCTTCCTTCGTCTTCCCATCAAGCCACCGGACATCACTGAACCCTTCTCCTTCCACCTCAACCATCAACCCCTCAGCCCACCTCTCCGGCCAGCGAGTTGTCTGAAGACATTGAGCCGCTATATAGCACGCGCGGATGGGCGATGGGCGTTGGGCTTCTCAACGACCAAAACAAGTCTCCCGTCGTCAAAAGCTGGTGGTCACACTCACTCAGACAGACTCCTTTTCAAAGCCCCAAGGCTTGGCTTCAGAAAAACGAGCTTTTTCAAGCCCACCCTCAGAAGAAGACGCACCCTCACAGATCAGACCTATGTTCCTGACCTGGTCCCTGACCGGTTCCCGACCCACCGACCCACCGGACCTCGCACCGTGGACTCCAAGACCTGCGCGCCGCACATGGCGCCCGACATGGCGCCATTCAGCCAGGCGCCGATGGCCTCGTCGGGCGGTGCGGGGTCTGCGTGGGCGCGACGGCAGGACGGACTGAGAACGAGCGCTGAGTGAGCTAGGTTGACCTCACATCTGTGTCACGTTCTCATAAGCCTTCAAGGACCTTGAAGAAGGGAGGCCAAAAGGGTAGCAACAGATGCAACAGCACCATCTTAATGCATGGTTTCATCCCAGTCCTCGCCATCCACCCCAGAGTCCTTCAGCTTGGGTCCTGAGCTTCGGCAACGGGGAAAGCCAAGACTCAAGAGGTTCCTGTCCCCCACTGACACCGTGAACGCGGCAGCCAAGCCCAGAAGATACTGGTGGTGCCGACCCAGCGGCTGAAAATGCTGAAATGGGTCCGACATGGTCCGACGACGCTCGAGAGAACCATCCCTCGGTGGCTGCCTTCTTCTGCACCGTCGAAGTGGCCGAGGCATTTTTCCCATGCGGAGGTCACGTCTGCTGCGGCAGAGCGTGCACGGCTCCTGGCAAAGCGTGCTGTGGCAGAAGTCCAGGCACCCAGCTGTGTGGCTCTGCCCAACATCCCCGCGGATCGCGCCCTTTTGTCGCTTGTAACGTCGATAAAAGATCTGGAAAAACCAGCGAAAAAGCAGTGCACTGTGCAGAATGCCGTTCCCTCGTTCGAGGGAACGGCATCAAATTCGCCACAAGCCGGTCCGGGTCTTCTGCATCTCCCCCGGTGTCTGCGGCTTCTTGGCCCTTGGGGAGACCCGCGGCGAGACCGGTTTCACCGTGGCGCGGCCCGCGGTCAGCAGGGTCTTCGGCGTGGCGACGCTGCGGCTCGCCGGGCGCGACTCCTCGACCTTCGGGCTGGGGAAGTGGGGCACCTCCCGCGGCACCTGGACGGCGGCGGAGGGAGAAGCGGAGCCTAACATGAAAAGCTCACCCTCTGCGGCACTGCGCCCTCCAATCAAGATCTGGTTGGGGGAACTGGAAGAATTCATGGCCGGTGGTGTACCTTTTTGAGGGCACCTTCAGCCCACCCTACGCGTACCTCGATGACCTGTGCTGGCGCCAGCAAGGCAGGTGCCACCTCCTTCGGCCGGCGAAGGGACCCCGGCATCACCGGGTCCTCGTGGTTGAAGCGCAGGTGGGAGGGCGCCACCCGCTCCTTCCGTGCTTGCTTCATGCCGTGCTTCCCATACCAGTCCTCAGCCAGCGCCAAGGATGCGATGTGGAACCGCTCGGACCCATCCAAAGGTGCCTTCTGCTCGGGATTCCATCCGCCTTGAGCTCTGGGGGGGAAATGACATGGGCCACGTCCGTGGCTTCACACCAGCAGCTCGCCCATCCCAAAGGCCCAAAGGCCACGCATTCGCAAAGCTGAATGCCAAAACCGCCGATGCACCGAAAACGACAAAGCTGCCTCATCCCAACAAAACCATCCCACCCCATAGAAAACCGTTCAACACCCCCCCCCTCCGCGTCCTCCCACCGCGTGGACCCGCCCTGCTACTCCACCGTCCGCGCTCCGCGACAGGTTCCCACTCCCGCGTTCGTTCCACTCCGAGCCGAGGCGTCGTACATGCGGTCCGCGTGGTTCACCCGCAAGATGTGCTTCACCTCCTCGTCCAGCCGATCATCCAGCGCAAAGTGCGTGTCCTGCAGGAGTCGTTTCACCTGAGCCGACGTCGGGCCGTGAGGGCCGTGAGGGCCGTTACGGAGTGGCGGAACAGAGAGTGGCCCGCCTTATGTGTTTCCGGAGAAGTGGGACATGAACAACCCGCCCCCAACCGATCTCTAGACACCAGATGATACAAGAACAAGCGGAGTAGGACGGTTTAATGGATTAGTAGATGGACCAGGCAAGCTTTCTTTATCTGGTTGGGGCCGGTGGGTCACAAGCCAGACGCAAGGGGTCACAAGCATACGACGTAATGTCATTTTGGGACCCTCGCAAGGACGCTGCACCGTGCCTCTGCCGTGCACCACTGGCCCAACTACAAAGTTGATGACCTTCGAAACCTCAATTCAAAATTCTGCAAAAAAAACACCCCTCCCCTACCCAAACCTCCATGAACCTGTCGATCACTCCCCTGCCCCACACACCACCGCGTGGACCCAGCGCACCCCGGAGCGATCGGCCTGGCGGTCCATCTCTTGGCGCCAGGCCAGCCGTGCATCCACCGAGGGCCCATCCAGCAAGCCCGTACTCGTGACGGGCAGCGGACGGTTGTCCTGTGTGGTCCGGTGTGGGTCCGGTGTGGGCCTGCGAACCCATGGAGGGGGAGGATGAAGGGTGGTGGTCTGTTCGAACCAAGACCTCCGCCCACCGCCCAGCGCCAGCTGTTTTTGAGCAAGCAGGTGTATCGTCCCCACCGTTTTCCAGTCAAGCTGGGTGGCCCTCCGGCTCGGAACTTCCAATCTCAAAGCAACAAACACATGAACACCAACGGCGACGAGAAGAAGAAGAATAATAATAAGAAGAAGAAGAAGAAACACACGGAATGGGCATCAAAAACCTGCATGTTAGTCACGGCTTGAAGGCTTTTGTTGGCTGGATGTTGGGCCGCGATGTCCCCGCCCTTTGCCCATTCTTCCACATGATATATGTATACATATATTTATATAATATTTATATATACATATTCATCATTGGCGTGGGAAATCTCTTCGCAAGATGCACGTCGACCACGTCCTCGAAGGCCTCGGCTTGCCGCAAGACTTCGACCTCCTCCTTGAAGTTCTCAGGAAGGTCCTCGAAGTCCGTTTCTCATGGGACGAAGCCGCCACGATCGATGGCCTTCGCTCGATCGACTCGGGGTCCACCAATCACGCGGGGAGCCTCCTCGCAGTCACAGAACACCGCGAAAACGCTCCGCGCCCGTTGCGCTGACATGTTCCCACAGACGCGCCGCACGTTCTCCGCACGGCCTTCAGGATGTTGCTCCGGATGTTTGCAGCCTCCTGAACGATGGATGAGCGCCCGGTCGATCAAAAACCGATGGATGAGCGCCTGGCTTGCTTGAACCTGCACCAGGGAAATGCCCACATAAGTTGAGCCTAGGCCTCGTCCATTCAGCGAGGCCATGTCACTCTCCTACCTGATTTCAAGCCACGCGCACCCAAATCCTCACCTTCACGCGACTCTCTGCGCAAACCTTCCCACTCCTTCCACCCCCTCTGTCGTGCGAGGACAGGAACCGTCCTGCAGCCGGCTGTCATGCTCATGGCTCCCCACAAAGTGCACCATCTCCCGCATGGCGGGGTCCGAGCCCAGCGCCACGCTCCGGCGCCGGACGGCTGGACTGACCTCAGAGCTCTGATTTCGACGCACTCGCACCGCCTTTTTCTGAGGGTTTCTGGTGTGCCATGGTCGGCCTCCAATGGAGCTGCAACAACAAGCTAGCCAAAGTTTGTTGGCTCTCTGCCACCTATTCCATCGATCTCCGAAAGTGAGTGCACCGTAGTGCATCTGGTTTAAAGTTTTTAAGGCCTGCGGGTGCCGTCCTTTGAGAATTGCCTTCCTCAGTCCAAGTGAGGTAAGGTCTTTCTCCTCATCCAGTTGAAATCCTTCGGACCCAGCTGCTTTCGGGGACGCTGTTGCTGCCATCGAGTCAAGCTCGCCTTGAGCGGTGCTGCCGATGGTTTCCTTGAGCCAGACTTCGGATAGCAAAGCTCGGCAGAGTGAAGCAGGCTGCTGGTCTCGACTGGAGTCACTCCTGAAAAAACATGAAAAAACATACTACTAAAAGTGAAGCAGTTCCGCTCACACCATAACCCCAAGGGCACACCGCGGTCACCGCTCAAAAAAGTCCTTTTTGGTGGGCGCTCTCCTTTAGAGCAACGGCTCAGAATATCACTATCATTGTAATGGCCACTCCAGTTTGTCTGCGCCCTCTCTACACATGTGGCTTTGCAATGTCCATATCCTTTAGCTCAGATCACAAGTCACTCAGATCATCAACTCCCCTGAAGTTCGCTCTCCTGGGAGGTAACCGCTGCAAAAGGTTGGCATCAAGGTGGCCCTTGCCCTCCAACTGCAAGCGACCCAAAGGTTGCGTGTTACCTTGGAGGACAAGCTGCTGGCACCGCCAACCGCTTGACGCGTGTTGCCTGTGGCCAACGCAATGTTCCAGCTAAAACTTGGAGATGTGCATTCGTATCTCTCTCTCTCTCTCTCTACCTTCTTGCATCAGTGGACCCCTCGCGGGAACACCAAACACCACCCCCTTCCACTGCGACCGCCCTTCCACGGTCGCCGGCTCGGGGCCCCCCACGCCGCAGCTCCGCCCGCCCGCCCCGCAGGCAGAGCACCGTCGAGCCGCACGGCGCAGCGGAAGCCGCGGACGGGCCGAGAGGTCCGGCCTGGCGCTGCTCACGGGCGGCACCGAGACATCGGACGTGGCGGGTGAGCAGAAATGCTCCGAAGTCCAGGTCGCATGGACTGGAAATCGGAAGAAGAGCGGAATGTTCTGGCACGCGGAACGAATGGACGACCACGAGGGGGAAGATCTGGACAGAAGAAATTTTCTTCCCATAGGCTGCCTATGTTTCTTATGACCGTATCAATATGTTTCCACCCCTCACCTACAGGACCCGCAAAATACCACACCAACAAAGCAGGCTCGCCACCCTTTTTGCCGTCGCCCGTCCTCCGGTGCAGGCTCACCTGACATGGTGGTTGAGTCGAACCCATGCCTTGCTGGGGGGTAAAAAGGGTGTAAAGATGATCTTCCAAACCAGTTGTTGGGGTTGCCTCGCTCTCGGGTGATTCAACAAAAGAAACCTCTTAGAGCCAGGCCAAGGCCATCAGCATCCTCATCCGCTTCCGTGTCGCTCGACACGGCACCTGTTCTCGCGGGCCCCCTCTCGGTGAGCGGAGTCGGTCGTGCCGAAGGGTAGCCGGAAGAAGCTGAAGACTGGGACTAGATGACTTTGGACAGCTGAAGACTGGGTCAAATGGAGTACTGAGTATACAAGCTGAACCCAAAACATCTCTCCAAGTCGGGTCAAATCGCCAGGCTCCATAGGCTTCACACCTCCTGGAGGAAGTACACCCTCACTGGCCTGGCAGCACGGGGGACTGTCCGTCCGTCCGTCTCTGGGTTTTCCTCTGAGTCGCAGCATGCCAATGGCTTGACCCACACCCAAGTACTTGATCCATGCTTCTTTTCCGCAAGCAGCGTGCTCCGGCAGATCGCGTTCCTTTGGCGCGGATCTGCCAGAGTTCGACCCGAAAAAGAAAGGGCCGATCCAATTAGAACCAAGAGACTCATGCAGCTCTTTCAGCTTAGCTAGCAGCCAGCAGCTAGATGATGACGAGTGCTAGTCCAATGGATGAACCATTAGCTCCATCTCTGTGCGCTGTTCTGTTCGATGGGTTCAACTAGATGATGAGCTCTTGGAGGCGGCGGGCCTTGACCTCAACATCCTTCTTGACCTTGGAAACTTTGGCCTTAGCATCTGCTACTGCCTCTGCAGCCTTGTCAGTCACCTCCTTTGCCTGAGCAGCGACCTTCTCCGTGGCATCCTTGGCATCTGCTGCAGCGTCTGCGGCAGCCTTTTCAGCCGTCTCCTTTGCCTGAGCAGCGACCTTCTCCGCAGCCGCCTTGTGAGCAGCAAGCGTGT